CACGATCTTAGCATTTGGTTTAACTAGAATCCTTCCCCAATCCTAAAAGAACTGGCTTCCTAAACAGGAATATTCACTTCCCAAATAGAATACAAACTAGTCAAGGGTTCGCAGGACACGAATTAGCTGAGAAGTCTCACATGAGCTAGGATTTCACTTTAGATATTAAGCCTTTAAAAATCAAAGGAGAGGGCTGCAGGTACAGGAAGAGACAATATTGTCGGGCTTCTGACAAAATTTCTTAATGAAAAAAACACTGAGCTCGTTTTAGAGGACGTCCCAGTGACGCAGGCCCAGGCTGCAGGGGCTCCTGGGAGTCACAGTTGCTTGGGGGCCTCAGAGCCAAAGCCTCCCACCCCTGGGCTGTCTGGCCGGCTTCAGGCTGACCGTGGCAGTGGCTCCCCACCCGGAAGGCTGAAGGAACACTGTGAACCATGAACTAATTTGCCGGCAATATTTCAAAGGCGTGACCCTTGGATGACTCAGTGCAGGACTCTTCTGGGATGACCATATGTGGGTGTCGCACGTCGAGAAAGTGCTCGTGATTTAGCCACCACGAACGATGGCCTCTGCGGAAGCAGAGCACCCCTGGCCGTGAACACGAACTGTGGGAGACACAAGGTGCCTTCCGATTCTCGTGACCACCCTGGGGAGCCCAGGACACCACGGCAGCCCTCCACCTGCAGCGACTCGGCTTCTGTCCCCAGGTGATACCTGCACTTCATGGTTCCCACAGCAGCTCCCGTGTGCAGGGCTGAGGCAGAAAAGGGCAAGAAATGGCCAACAGGGGGTCAGAGGTCGGTTGTCTCCAAAGAGGAAAGATTGGCCTCCTGAGCGTGCTAAAGGGCCGGTCAAATGTTGAGAAGGTTGGTGACATGAGTGACAGTTTAGGGAGATGGGGAAAGGGGAATGGCAACCGGAAACTTCCGGACTTCCAGGGACAAACCAGAAATAAAACTGCTATAGAAAAGGCTCAATCCAATGGTCAGGGCTGGATCTTCAGCGCTTTAGGCAACACCTCACGAGGAACCCGTCTTCAGGGTGGCCCGTCCCAGAACAGGCTTCCTGTTAGAGCCCCATCTTCTAGGAGGTACCCCAAGGACTGCAAAAACTGTGCTGATGTTCGTAATGCCACAGGGGGTTTCTCTACAAAAATGCAAGAATGTTTCTAAATATTTTAAATGTTTAAAAAAATTCCGGTTATATTTAAAGTGTCTAAATATGTTTCCATCATAAAAGATAGTATAGTTAAGCCAGAGAAGGGCGAACTCGCAAACAGGAACAGCTCCTCCCAGCGGGCAATACCCCAGAGGGAGGGAACTCGGCGGTGACGTGGCAGAGTCTCCTGTGAGCAGTCATGGCCCGCCCTCCTGCCGCCTATGGACAAACTGAAAATCGTAAAAGGTAATGCTTGTACACGACAGAGCGTGCTCACGACTGTTAGCTCATTTGTTCCCCCAAAGAATCCCATGAAGCTCAGGTGCTAGTCTTGTAGCCATTTAACAGAAACAGGATGGGATCTGGCAGGGTGTTTGTGTATTTGGTGGAACACCCAGAGTCCCACGGCCAGCATGCTCCACCCCTACTCCGAACCAGGCATTGCAACTAACCTTTGGTGAATATGCTAATTTAATGCAACTAATTACCTCGACAAACATATTTTGAATGCCTATTAAGAGCCAGAACGAGGGCAAGTCACTGCTCTCAAGGAGTTCGTAGTCCAGTGAGGAAGTGGACCCACGCGCAGACAAAATAATAGATAAAAAGTTCTATAAGGACATAAATACAACATGAAATGAAATGGACGCCTCTGCGTGCCCAGCAGATGGGTCTACATTGTGTGAATGAAGATGCCCAGCCACACGGCGCCTTCGGAGTCAGAAGGCAGCTTTTTCTCAGGGCGTCTTCCTCCACAGTTCAGCTCTGACCGTGATGCCTGGCACTGACTATTGAGAAAACAAACAAACTTCTACGATGGAGAAAAGCAACTCACCCAGTCTCCTCACCTGGTAGACAGAGCCAACCTCTTTTGCTCAGATGCTGAGCTCACCAAACCACCTTCCATGTGGGATTTAGGAACGCTGGGTTGGTCTGTTCCAGCAAGAGGAAATAAATGCCCACTATAAATAACCTGTTGCTGCTTATCCTGCCACAGTTCTCCTCTCGCTATGGATTAATAGAGGGCTGTTCTGGTCTCGAAGGCGGCTGCGGGAAAGTCATGAGTCAGTTTTCCACATGCCGCCATCAGATGGAACTTTCCATGACTGTGTCAATAGGGCAGCTAGTCATGTGGCTATTGAACGTTTGAAACGAGGCTAGGAAAGCTGAAGAAGTGATTGATAATGTTATTTAATTCTAATGAATTTAAATAGCCACAGGGAGCTAGCGGCCACCAACCTGGACAGCGCAGCTTGAGACCCCCTGGCTGTTCAAAGCATGGCCTGTGGACCCTCAGTGACTCCATTGCCCTGTGAGCTTGTTAGAAATGGGGGGGGTCTCAGGCCTGGCCCTGGGTCTGCTGATTCAGAACCCTCACACTAACAATATCCCCGGACGACCTGTTTGCACATTAAAACTTGAAAACAGTACAGTTACTTCCCAATGAGCTGGAAGAAAGAAAAGGAATGACTGAGGACGGTATCCGTGGTGACTTCTCCAGACAGCAGACACCCACACTTGAGGCTGCTGTCCAGCCTCAGGGGCCCTCTTCTTTCTTTGAATCTGTCGCTCCTCCACCCCTTCAACACAGACACAGCTGAGAGGGGGAAGGGAACAAAGAGAGAGGCTGGAACACTGCATCTCGGGGAAGTCAAGAGGCTGGCAGGTGAGATGGGAAGGGCATGAGTTTCTCAGACACGTTACACAATAAAATGATGGAATTTCCATGACAACAATGGACTAGGGATGATGGTTATACCGAGTTTGTTGTATTATTTTCTCCACTTTTGGGTACGTTTGAAAGTTTTCAAAATTAAACAATAGATGTGATTTCAGAGATAACAGCCAGCCCCAGTGAGCCTCTCCTCCTGGTGTTCACTCTTGTGTACTCTCCTTCCAGGGGTGGGGGGTGGGAGTGAGGGGAGAGGGGACATTGATTTGCTGTTCCACTTATTTATGAACTCCCTGGTGGATTCTTGGGTGTGCCCTGACTGGGATCAAATGTGTGACTGGGACCTTGGCGTGTTGTGACGATGCTCTCAGCAGCTGAGCCACCCAGCCAGAGCCGCTGAAGCAGCCTTGCGGAGAGACCTGATGAGAAGGAGCCCAGGACTCCTGCCGACAGGCAGCCACATGCCTGAGTCAAGGACCTGAGCCTCTGTAAAGTTCATTCTCCAGCCCCAGCCAAGCCCTCTGATAACTGCAGCTCCCTCTGACACGTGATCCCAACTGCCTGAGAGACCCCCAAGCCGGACCTGCCTGCCAAAGCGCTCCTGAACCTCCAACCCTCGGAAACTGTCTGTGAAAGACAATGAATGTGTCTCATCGTATAAAACCACCGAGTTTTCCGGTGATTTGTTACGCAGCCACAGAGAATGGACGCAAGGTCGTTTTAGGATTTCCCACTCCCTGATACCCTCCCTGCCTTACCACAGATGCCTGGAATGAACAGGACAAAGACCTTTTCCTGCTGTGCACAGGTTGTCATGCGAATACTCTTTGAAGAGATACTACATTCTCTTAAGTTCAGGATAAAACATATATGACAGATACAAACTCTTTTTAAAACTCTTAGCAGGCTAATGTATGGAGACATTCATTTCAGTCTTGGTCTTGCTGTTGTAAGAGACTAGAAAGAATAAAAACATGCTTTCTTCCTCAGGGTCTACCATCCCAAAAGCTAGTTTTAAATACAGTCTAGGGCCTGGGGGTGTCCAACCTGCAGCCCGAGGGCCACCCACGGCCCAGGGTGGCTGTGCATGCAGCTCAACACAAAACCGTAAATTTACTTAAAACATGATGAGATTTGTGTGTGTGTGTGATTACATGTCACAATGTATTTACTATGTGGCCCAAGACGACTCTTCTTCTTCCAGGGTGGTGCAGAGAAGGCAAAAGGTTGGACAACCCTAGACTCTAGGCTCTTCCTACATGGCTCTCACCCAGTCACTAACCCCCAAGAACACATACGGTGAGCAGCTTCTTGGTATTTTAAGGGCCACCCTAAAGATCCCCAGCCCTTCACCTTGAGGATTTGGTAATAGGGAAGCAACACTGGAATATTGCTCCAGAAGCAGAGGCCCAAGGGATGAATGATCCCGGGGCTGGGGTGGGGGGGTTGACGTTTCCGGGAATGGAAACCGGACCCTGGCTTGTACGCAGCCCCTGCCTGCGTGTGTGTGTGTGCGCGTGCGTGTGCGTGTGTGTGTGTGTGTGTATGTGTGTGTCAGGAGCGGAGTGGGAATTGCTGAATGGGTGTCTGAGGAGTGGGATCCTGTGGTCTGCGCATGCACCCAAGACCTCCCCGTAACCCCCCACCCCGTACCCCCAACTCCTGCCCATCTGGCTTGCAGGCTGACACCCCAAGAGTGATGGATGGAATACAGGCGTCGAGCCTTGGGGGAAGGCCCTTCCCCAAATCTTTTCCCAAATTTTGGGGACTTCGTAGCCCTAGATAGAGAGGAGGGAGAACCTAATAAACTTCCTGCCAACATTGCGCTAGATTTCTTTAATATGTAAAATTAAAAGACCTGAGACGCTCCTTGCCCAGGGGTCAGCCGCAGCGAATCCAGTTAGGGCTACTTTTCCTGAAAGCCTTTCCGGGAGTCAGAGGAGAGCGAAGAAAGGAAGGGGGTGGAGGAAGGTGGAGGAAGTAATAGAGGAGTGAAGGGGCCGGAGTCCCCTTCCTGACAGTGTACGTCACCCAGTAGATCCTGGTCCCCAATACCTTCCGAGAGTTGCAGGCCGGCGCGCGGCCGGCGATCCGGCTCCGACACAAACACACGCACGTGCGCCCCGCCCCCGCGCGCGCACGCGCCCCGAGGCTCCGGCGGCGGCGGGCACGCGCGCGGTGCTCGCTGCCCCCTCGCCTCTCCCTGCGCTCGGATCGCGGCTCCTCCCGCTCCCCGCACCGCTCCGCGCCGGACCCGCGGACCGGGAGGCGGCGGCCGTGATCGGTGGGCTCCCGCGAACACAGCGGCGCAGGCGGTGGGGCCCGGGAAGGGGCGCAGCGGAGCTCGGCGAGTCCGCGGGAGGCGATGTTGCTGCGCGCGGGCCCCTGCGTAAGGCGGACGCCGCGACAGGCCGGCCGGTGAGGCGCCGCCTGGGGAGGCCGCGACGGAGCGCCCGGACCCGCCATGGGCTGAGACACGTCCTCGCCGAGCAGGTGCAGTGCCAGCAGCCCGTGGGGGAGCCCGTCCCGACAGGCCCGGGGACCCTTAACCCCGTCGGGGCGTCGGGACGCAGCCGGCCCCCTGTTGACCTTCCTTCAACGCCTCCCAAAGGCCCTACAGACCCCGCCTGCAAACCTGCCCAGGCAACCTCTGTGAAACCAACCACGTCTGACAGACCCCCGGGCCTGTCCCTGTCGTGCACTCCTGTGACCCCGGCCCAGCAGCCCCTGGGTCCATCTCCTCTGTCCCAGCATTTGAGCCCACTGCTGCACAGTGCCCGATGTCGGTGCATGGGGGCGGGGGGCGGTTTCAGGGGGTGAGTAGGCAGGTGAAGGGAAGTGGGAGAGCCAGTCCTTTCCTCTATCGGTCCTTCCCTCCATTGGTCCTGGTACCCATAAACCCATCTTCTCTCTCTCAAACCTGTAGTAACGTGACCCTTCTTTACCCCACCAGAACATGCCTGGGTGACCTTGCTCCCAGATCTTCCTGGTGGCCTTCCTCGCCCTCCCCAGTGACACTATGCACCCCCAGCGTGACCTGCGAGGCCTGTGGCTCCCACTGCTGTCCTGGTTCCTGCTCTTCTGTGAGACGACCGAAGCTGGCCGGGCCCTGGTTAGCTGTCCTGCCGCCTGCTTGTGTGCCAGCAATATCCTCAGCTGCTCCAAGCAGCAGCTGCCCCACGTGCCCCATGCCTTGCCCAGCTACACGGCTCTGTTAGACCTCAGCCACAACAACCTGAGCCGCCTGCGGGCTGAGTGGACCCCCACGCGCCTGCCCCACCTGCACTCCTTGCTGCTGAGCCACAACCACCTGAACTTCATCTCCTTGGAGGCCTTTTCCCCAGTGCCCAACCTGAGATACCTGGACCTCTCCTCCAACCAGCTGCGGACACTGGATGAGTCCCTGTTCAGTGAGCTGCAGTTCTTGGAGGTGCTGCTGCTTTACAATAACCACATCATGGCCGTGGACCGCTCGGCCTTCGAGGATGTGGCCCAGCTGCAGAAACTCTACCTAAGCCAGAACCAGATCTCCCGCTTCCCTCTGGAACTGGTCAAGCTCCCCAAGCTGACGCTCCTGGACCTCTCCTCCAACAAGCTGAAGATGCTGCCGCTGTCCGACCTGCAGAAGCTGCCCGCCTGGGTCAAGAATGGGCTGTACCTGCACAACAACCCCCTGCACTGCACCTGTGAGCTCTACCAGCTCTTCTCGCACTGGCAGCACCGGCAGCTGAGCCCCGTCGTGGACTTCCAGGAGGACCTGCACTGTGTGAGCGCCAAGAAGCTACACAGCGTCTTCAGTCTCAACTGCAGTGAGTACAAGGAGCATGCCTGGGTGGCCCACCTGGGGGACGCCGTGACCATCCATTGTGACACCAGGCAGCAGGGCATGACGAAGGTGTGGCTGACACCCAGCAACGAGCGGGTGCTGGATGCTGTGGCCAACAGCACGATGACGGTGTTCGAGAACGGCAGCCTGCATTTCAGGCGCGTGCAGGTCGAGGACGGGGGTGTGTACACCTGCTACGCCTCAGGGGAAGCTTTCAACGAGACCCTGTCGGTGGAGCTGAAGGTGTACAATTTCACCTCGTATGGACACCACGACACCCTCAACACGGCCTATACCACCCTCGTGGGCTGTATCCTCAGCGTGGTCCTGGTCCTCATATACCTGTACCTCACCCCCTGTCGCTGCTGGTGCCGGGGTGTCGAGAAGCCTTCCAGCCACCAAGGAGACAGCCTCAGCTCGTCCATGCTGAGTACCACACCCAACCACGATCCTATGGCCGGTGGGGACAAGGATGATGGTTTTGACCGGCGGGTGGCCTTCCTGGAACCTGCTGGCCCCGGGCAGGGTCAAAATGGCAAGCTCAAGCCAGGCAACACCCTGCCGGTGCCCGAGGTGGCAGGCAAGGGCCAGCGGAGGATGTCGGATCCGGAGTCGGTCAGCTCGGTCTTCTCTGACACGCCCATTGTGGTGTGAGCAGGGTGGGTGGGCGGGGACGTTCTGCCCCAGGAGAGGTAATGCACCCCTGAAGGATTTGAGGGGATGGAAGAGAGGGCTGGCTGCCCCAGGGAGTGGGTTTTCCCTGACCTCAAGAGAATTGGTCACGGGCACAAGAGCAAGCAAGACCCCAGCCGGGGGTGTGGCTGCCCTGAGTTTCAAACAGGGGCGTATCACTCCCCAGGCAGATGCTACACCCCTGCGCGAAGCCCCTGCGCTGGTCTGTCAGCGCGCTGGAGGAGGGGCGCGTCCCAGCTGGGTGGGAATGAGGAAGAGGTTGGGGGAAGAGCAGATGCCCTAAACTTTTCAAGATCATCCCTAGCTCCTTAGGAGAAAGTCATTTGGGGGGAAAATCCCTTTTTTTCTATTCCTGCCTACCCCCAACACACACACCTGTGACGTTGGGCGGGTTCGGGGAGCTTCCACGGGGGAACCCATAGGGGGAGAGTCGTAGTGTTTTCTGTGGTCGGGAGGTCACACTTCACAGTAAGGAAATCAAAAGCCTCTGGAAAAATGAGTCAGGAAAAGGCTGAGACCTCCAGCACTAGCCCTCTCCCGGGCTGCTGCGAGACTTCCCGATGCCTCGTGCTCCCTGGCCAGCCGTGCGGGGTGTGGTGTCGGTGCCCTGTCCTGGGACCAGAGGCACGGAGGGGCCCTCAGCGCAGGCGCGGCAGGAAACCCGTGGATGGGGGTGAACTGCACACTGGCTCGTTTCCCGGGTGGGGAGACCGGGTTAGCGTTTGGTGCCAGCACCTGTGTGTCAGGCCTGGGTGGGGCCCGCTCCACACGAGAAGGAGGAGCGTGCATCAGCCTCTCTTAGGTAGCGCCCTGCGGGCCCCGCCTGACTCTCGGGGTTCGCCATCTCTTCCTTCGGCCTCCTTGTCAAGTTTGGGTGGGGTCCTGAGTTCTCCCCGACTGCTGCCCAGGCCCGGCTAGGCGAGGCCTGGGGACACAGAGGCAGGTGTCTCCTCTGTGCCGGCAAAGCTGCCTTGCTCCTCGTGGAGGTCTCGCCCGAGGAGAGACCAAAGCACGGGCGCTGTCACTGAGGGGTCGGAACTGCTTGGTCTCTGCCCAGTGCCGCAGTTTGGAGTGTGGCTTCGAGTTCTGTGTCTCCACAGGGTTCCAGGCAGTCTCGTAACGGGGACAGCCAGTGGCACTGAACCTTCAGAAGGGCAGCTCTGCCACCCACAGCACTGTCAGCCAGAGGTCTGTGCCAGAGAAACTTCTGAACAGGCTGACGCCCCACCCCACCCAGGGTTACAGAACACTTAGGGCCCAGAGGCAGCCGTCCCCCGGGACTTCTCCCTCTGACGGGGGGGCATAAGCACTGGGAAGGCTGCTCTGAGCCTCATCAAGGGCACAGACAAGGCAGAGGGGGAAGGTTCTCAGATGTGGGTCGTTTTCACTCTGTCCCCTTCGCCCACCAGGCTCCCTGTCCAGTGGGAGTTAACCAGACCTGGTGTTCCAACCTGCTCCTTAGGTTCCAACAGGTGTCGTTTCCCTGCGGGCAATAAGAGCGGCTGCTAGGAGGGCCTGACTCCTTGGGGAAGGGGACTGGAGCTCAACATCTTCCCCCGCCCGCTCCTGGAGGTCAAGGCTGCTGCCCATCCTTTCTCAGTACCCGGTTTTGTCTAGAGGTGCAGCATTTCCCTCAGGTACCTGCATGCTCATAGGTGTGCACGCTTCTAGGTATGCATGCACTCAGCACCTTGGCCCCCAGGACAGTGACCCCTCAGTCCCCACTGAGGTGCATTTCAGAAGGTCTCCACCTGTGTGCACGACGTGATGCACACGTTTTCTTGCCCTGTAGGAGACAGTGATCACGCCAGGCGCCCCAAATAAACTCTTGTCCTTTTAATTCATTCTGAGATCTCTGAAGCTTCACCCACGTCTCCATGGTTCACCCGAGTTCTCTGCAAGGCCTGGAGTTGGGAGAACCACACATGGAAGACCTCGGGAGATGGGGCGATGAGGAGCTAGCCAGTTCTTCAGGCCCTAAGGAGCCTTCCTTGGGTTAAAGACAGTAGATGGGACGTAAAAGTGCAGCTAGGTCAAGGAAGGACCCAGAGGAGCTGGCGGGGGACCAGGTAGCTGTCAGTGGCTCTTCCTCTGTGAACTGCCCGGTAGGATGGGGGCAGGAGGGAGAAGTCGTCTGGTTAAGTTCCAGAGGCCAGTTGTGGGGGAACAGGGACTCCCTGCTCACTTCGCAGGGAGCCTGTGAACATCTCACCTCCATGCCGGAGTGTCCCCTTGAGGAGCTGCCCGAGACTCTGAAAGTTGGAGTGTCAAATGGAGCTGGCCGGCCGGGGCAGTCCAGCTGAGGCCTGAGGACGAGGAGGGCCCTTTTCTCCTTTTCATACCCAAGTTGGGGACTAGGAAGATGCCCCGAGGCCGTCAGTCCCTCTGCTCTGTCCACTAGCCTGGCCCCAGCTTGAGACACTGGTCGGTGTGCCTGGCTGCCCGCCAACCCCCACGACAGACTGAATGAATCAGCCTCTTCCGTGGTTTCAGTTGATAGAACACAAAGGTCACTTTCTCCTTGGGGACCAATTACCCAGCACATGGAAGCTCCCTAGAACCCTGTGTAGGAAACTGCCTGGTGTGGCTCTAAGAACAGACTGAGCGAGCACCCCCACCGCTCCTCCTCCCCACACCCGTGAACCATACATGTCTCCCAGGAAGCAGGTGTCCCTGGAGACAGTACGACAGGGCTCAACAGTCTACGTGATTGTTTGTGACCTTTTCCTTTGCCTGAGTTTATGGGGCCCCTAGGAAGGGGCCAGGAAAAGGTACACCCCAGCCTGGGGAGGGCAAAGCCAACTGGCCCGTTTTCTGTGTGTTCTTACCTTTGTACTTCCTCGTGGCCCTGCTGGCGAAGCAGGCTGGCTTCCCTCCCCTGTGCAAACCCAGGGGCCTGTCCCTCCCCTGTGCAGACCCAGGCTGGCAAGCCTTGGAGCCTCTGGGCTCTGGAAACTAGACAACCACCATTAAACCTGGCTTGAGTCTCTTGTTCTGGTGCCGCGTGTGGCTGGTTTGTTTCTCTTTTCAGCCTGTGGGCGGGGCTCACTGCACCGCAGAGGGTGCAGCCTGTGGAGGGAGAGAATCTTTAAGTGCTGCTATAAAGGCATCCAAACACCCACATCCAGGCCTGCAGACAGGCCGGGGGGTCAGCAAACGTTTTTCTGGACAGAGCCGGACAGTATGTTGGGCTCTGCAGGCCACCATCTCTGTGACAACCCCTCACTGTGCCCGATGCAGCAGGAAGTCACCAAGGGAGCTCAATGAAGGAGGGTGGCTCCGGTCCAGGCTTTATTTATGGACACTGAGATCTGGAGTTCATATAATTTTAACACGTCTTTTGAGTTGCCTCAACCAGCTGAAGTGTAACAACTCTTACTAGCTCACAGACCACACCAAGCCAGGCAGCAGCTGGCTGGGGCCAGCAGACCAGTGTTCAGACAAGTCCTCGGAGGAGTTGCCAGCGGTGCCTCGGCAGGAGAGTTTAGCAATTCCACGATGCAGGCGAGAGCCTGCAGACAGCAAGGCTGCTCATGCCCCTGGGGAGGAGCCCCCCCCCCCCAGCCCCGTTCGGAGTCTAGATCAAGCCTACGAAGGGCACTATGGGAAGGTGCTTGGGCTGGGCTCAAGGAAATGGTGGGGAGCAGTTCACTTTCACAACATTTTATTGCCAGTATACTTTCACGTTGTGAATGGCGACCGTCTTAGCTGTCCAAGTCCAAGTCTGTTCACCTAACGGGCAGGTTAATAATCCCTGACGGTTAACATGCGTGAGGCACAGAACAGAGAAACGCCTTCCCTACTCTGTTGGTGCGGAAACTGGACTGGATTCTACTGACCTCTGAACATGCAAATTCTCTGGCTTCTCTCTTGCTGCTTCGGGCAGGGGACTATCACGGTAGACTCCATAAGGGAGGGGGAAATGGTGCAAGGAAAAAAGAAAAGAACCTACATTTGAATAACGACCTAATTTCTCCCACTGACAAAGTCTGACCGGAGGGCAGCGCTCCTCTGTGGGGGACGAGGGGTGGAGGCGCGGCCCGGCCACATCGGGCACACGGACCCGGGCAGTCCACGCGAGGTGCTGACCGCCCCACCCCGGGCTGCATGTGTAAGTAACAAGTATTTTTCCTCTTCTTGGAGCAGTCTTTTCTATGGCTGAGTTTCATCAAGAGGATGAAGCTGGTAGAGCACAGGTCTGGGGCAGACGACTGGGGGTTCCCCCTCTCTCCTGGCCTGTGCCGAGCCCTGTCTCTTGAGCCTGCAAAGTTGTGGTGCCGCCTTCTCCGTCATCCTAAGGAGGTCCCCTGCTGCATGCCCTCCCTCCTCCCCAACCACTAGCTTCTGGCCAAGAGGCGCAGCTCCGCCCGCAGTGTCTCGAATCTCGAAGCGTTTTCCCTAGCTCCTCCGGGGCGGTGCCACCTCAGGGGAGTGGGAGAGGCCAACGTGATAGCCTCGCCTCCCTTCCTCGCGATCTCTCAACGCCTTCTCTTGCTGCAGTTGTAGTTCTCGCACAGCTCACCCGGTCTCCCAGGAGACCACCAGTGAAGCCTCACCGTCCCCACCCACGCTGCAGAAAGGGCTCGGGCCAGTGCAGGGGGACAGTGGGCTTTTGGGCCTGGCTAAGGTGAGCCTGTCAGGCGTTCCCTTTCCCGGGGAATGAGAGCAGCAGATGGACATAACCATCACATCCAGCCCCTTCCATCAGGCTGGTCCATGGCCGCTGGGAAATATCAGTGATGAAGACCCTTAGACCCGCCCTGGGGCCTGCCTGTCTATATCCAGTTACTGTCCCAGAACCAGAGGACGTGGACCTGGGCCAGAGAGGACCCGGGGTCGCGGAGCCCTGTAGGGGCACTTCCAGGTGCGCTGCGGTGGTGGCCTAGGGAAGGTCGGAGTCAGTGAGCCCAGAGTCGGAGGGTGCGCAGCACGTGCTCGCGTGTGTGGGCGCACGTGCAGGCAGGTCGGGGGCGTGGCCTCTGGACCGCACTTTGTGCTGCTTTTCTCCCACTCACCCGCACTCCCTCACTGGCCGGGGCTGATTTGTGCTGCAGTCAGAGCAGAGAGGCCTCGCCTGGGGGGGGGGGGGGGGGGGCTTAGGAAGCACCGTGACAAACCTGGGAGTCTGCTTCAGAGAAGGGTCCCGGGACCCCTCACATACTCAGTGAGACAGAGCTGAATCCTCTGGTACCAGAGAACAGCCCGAAGTGCTACTCAATCTGCTTTCAACCGAGGTTTGAAAAATCACCTGGCAAGTTCTGACAACCGCAGGTGGATTGAACATTGTGACTCTTACACCCAGCGCAGCAGTGACTGGCCACACCTCCAGGTGGCTGGGCAGGGGAAGGTCATATTATGGAGGTGAATGTTTGGCCACTTCGGTCCACCCCCAGGGCGGCCCAGGGGCCCTGTCCTGCCCGTCAGCTGGGCTGGGGAGGGCACAGCACTGCTGCTCCGCTCCTGGGCCCCGGAGCAGAGAAAGCAACTCAGATGAAGAAGCGAGCCGAGGCCTGTGCGCGGCTGTCATTCCTGACTCTGTGTCCACCCCAGGCCGGCTGCTGGCTGCTCTCAGACCCAGGGAATGGAAAGTATCCTTCCCCGAACTTAGACTTTAAACAGAACTGCTTTCTGCGGTGAAGTGTGTGTGTTTTAATTCCAAAGAAGTGCTTTGAAGAGGAGGGGACTGTGACCCTACTGAAGAGTCCGAAACAAGGAAAGAGAAACCTGGGCACAGCTGGGCCACACTTCACAGTGTGTTTCCAGTGCCTGGCCTGAGGGCCTGAGGCAGCCAGCGCTCCGCCTGGCCTGGGGCAGGAGGGTCGGTGGGTGGTGGCACTGTGTCCATAATTCTTGCTCCCGCTCCCACCCTGGCTTGTCTGCTCCACCTCCTCTCAGAAGAGCCAAAGTGGGCGGAAGAGAGACCAGCCAGTCCCAGAAACCCCAGGCTGGACCCAGGGGACAGCCAACTCCCTGGTCTGCCATCAGTGCCGTGACTTGGCCACAGCAGGCGGGTGGCACTTCAGGCGCATTTCTCAGAGCCACTGGCCAGGTGGCGTTCCCGGCAGGAGTAGAGGGAGCTGGCCTCTCGTGGGGAAGGAAGAGGTGGCTGTGTTCTCTGATGACAGCCAGCATCACAGCCCCTCTGAGACCCGGCCCCTGAGTGTCATTACCCAGCATGGCTTTCGGCCTCCCTTAGAGAAGCAGAGCGTGAGGCAGGCAGAGGGAGGGCGGGAGGAAGAAGGACCAGGACACAGAAATGCCACCTGTTTGCATGTGTTTAATGCTCTGAGCTTCCCATGTAGCAGCGGCTCCCAAGCACTCCCCTCATCCTCACAACCTCCCTGGGAGGTGGGTCTCCAGGTGAGTGATCAGCTCAGGGCCACGCTGTATTGGGACTGAACCCTGACGCAAGGTTTGCCTGTTCCTGGGTCAGACTCCTGAAGCCTGGGGGGGGCCACCAGAAAGGCTGAGTGAGGTCAGGGGTCAGGACCAGGACGGGGTGTCCTCTGGAGGTCAGGGAGAAGGAAGAGCAGAAGGTCTAGAGAGGGTCAGGGTCAACGGCCGGCACTGCCACTAACTGCCAGTATCAGTGGGGCGCACACTGAGCTCCCTACACTTGACCTTCATCAGGTGAAAATGCCTTGGTCGCTCACATGAGGGCTCTGGGGGCCGACTCCCTGGGGAGGAAGCCTCAAGCCAGGGTTGAGAGGCAAGCCCCCTGACCCTTTCTGCCTCCCACAATGCCCCGCACTGGGTCACACTCTGTAGCCTGGGAAGGGGAAGGTGTGGCCTGGCTGACTCAGCCTGCCAGTGCTTGGAGGTCTGGAGCTGAACCGGCCAGCTCTGCTCAGCTAATGATTATTATTAACTCTGAACAGACCTTGGCACGGCAGCCAGCTGGCTCCGGGAGAATGCTTGGATCGCCCACAGTGAGGTTTAAAAACAAGACCAAGGGCAGCCACACACGGAGGTGGCAGGATGGGGACCATGACAAAGGAGGGACAGGCCAGTGTCAGGGAGTGGGGCAGGGGAGTCCATACTACAAGAGGGTGGGGAGAGAGGAGGCCCAGGCTGGTGAATGTTCCAGCCCACGTCTGATGCACTGAGCCCAGAGGGTGAGGCTGAACGACTTCCCCAGACTCAGAGCTCCTGCCATTCAATAGCGCCCCCCCCCCCCCCCCCCCGCCACATGGGGCTCAAGGGAAGCAGAGGTTCTGGAAAAGATGGGGGCTGGGGCCACCTGAACCCAGAATGGTAATCCTATTACCATCTGGATCTGGATACAAAAACCTTCTCTATTTCTCATGTCCTCAAGGTTGAGTTTGAATATAATCATATTTGGAAGCAGGACTTAGCCTGATATGCAAATTTGTGCAAATGACATGCTTTTTTTTTTTTTTTTTTTTTTTAATTTGAGCACCCTGTCTTTTTTTAAAAAAGGCAAAACAGGCTGACTACTAGCAGCTTTCCTCAGTCCGGGGACAAGGGCAAAAGGGCAGCCATTTGCTTCTCTCCGGAGGCCTCCGCCTCATCCCTGAGACGTCCAGATAGGGAGGTGCAGGAGGTGGGGGAGACAGCAAGGGGAGGAGGCCGTGCAGCCGGCAGCTGCCACATCCCAGCTGGAGGACGAGAGCCCTGGCGGGGAGGGCTAATGGCAGTCCAGCTGCTGCCCCTGGACGTGAGGGCAGGTGGTGAAGGCTGGAGAAATGCAGAGGGGAGGGGAAGGAAGTCCCCCCACAATCTGGCCTGCAAAGAAGAAGGGCTCCTCCTGTTGACCTGCTCCCTACACTGCAGTCAGATTGTGCACACAGGCCGCCCGTGCCCCCCTCTACCCTCCAGACCTCCTGATCGGAGATGGGACAGCTGGGCCCCTTCCTCCTGCAGAATGTAAATGACTTCCCCCTTTCTCCTAGGGCTTGGAATAGACATCAGCTGGCACAGCCCACGCAAACTGCTGGCTGTCAGCCTGCCTGCCCGCCACCCACCAGCCCCCCAACCACCTGGGAGGAGGCAATACCTCAGGCAGCGAGGTTCTCAGAGGCAGGGGAGCATTACCCCGCCCTCTCCCGGCTGCAGACTGCAGACTGCAGACGGGGTAAGGCTCCCCACACCCACTGTGCCTGGTGGAGAGGACACGGGGTCCCTGATCAAAGCGCCCCCCAGATGAGACTGCTCCATCAGCCCCAGTAACCCTATCCCCCAAGTTCAGACCACATTGGTAGTTTGCAGGGGTTGGGGGTGGGGGGGAGGACAAGAAAAGAGCTAATCACCACCTGCACAGCAGGGCCCCCTCCCCTAGCTCAGGGTCAAAGAGCTCCTGGGAGATGCCACCTGATCCAGGAAGAGCCCAGTGAGTCCACCCAGGGGACACCTCCTCCCTTGTAGGGTCCCCTGCCTGTACTGTGGCATCCTACCAACATCTTGCCTCTGAGCCACTCAGAGAGGATATCTGGAACGTTCCAAGGACCTGGACATCCAAAATGCTGCCACTTAGGAACTCCTCCTGCTGGTCCTGGACCCCGGAGCCCCAGCCTCCCAGAGGCCCGTGAGTTGCCACCACCTGCCTCAACACCAGCTCTCCTGTTCAGCCACCTTCAGTCCTTGCCATGGCCTATGGAGGTCCCCAGCTGAGCCAGAGCAGTGCACCTGCCTGGCGTCCAGCCCTCGCCGCTCAGGGCTGTCTGGGGAGCTGCTTTCGGTTTGGAACAAGGAGAGGTTTCTGCAGGGAAGACGGCCCAGTCCCCGGCAGCCAGCTGGCACCAAACTCAGCCCCCCTGCTGGGCCGAAGCTTGGCAAACCGAGAGGAAAGCTTAGATGACGAGGAAGGGGGATCTTCCCCAGATCAAAAGAGACCTGCTGCCTCCTGGGCTCTTCCTCTGTTCTGAAAGCTCTGGGACAGCTCCACAGCTGTGTGCTAAGGCAGGACCGGAGCCCAGGAAGGCAAAACATGTGCTGCCCAGGACTGCGTTGCCACTCAATGTGGATGTCGGGGGAACTGAGGAGGGCAGAGGAAGATCTCAGCCGGGCCAGGCAGCCCAGCCAGGAACTAGAGCCCTGGGTGAGCCAGCGCCCTTCTGCTCGCCCAAAGCTTTAAAGTGATTTCAGTGCCTTTACTGTCTCAGAGTTTAGGGACCCTCACTCGGGCCCCTTCCCTTACTGTTCTCCTCGGTGCGGGGCCCCTTGTGCCCTGGTCTGGGGCCAAATCAACACAGGCTCCCGACAGGCCGCAGTGGTAAGGGGCTATGAAAGAGTGACTCCTGAGCCTTCTGAGTGGCCCAGCCCGCGGTCCTTAGCCGGAGGGGTGTCCTGTGACGTCATCGGACACGAGGACTGTTGGCGCTCATCGGGAAACACTCATCACACAGATGAAGAGACTGAGGTCCTGAGATACATAACTTGCCTAAGTTCGCTCAACAGAGCCTACAAGGACCAAAACCCGTAACCAAGACCCAGGGGCGCTGTCCGCTACCCCACACTACTTTCTCAAGTCACCCAAAGTGCCACAACTGCCATTCATAAGTGACAGGAACCCACTCTCCATCAGGCAAGCAACCAGGAAACGACCACACCACCACCATCAGCACCAGCACCCAACCTTTCTGTGCCTCGTCAGCGTGGAGGCTTCAGGATCAAGCTCCCCACCCGCACTCAGTACATTTCCCCCTTTTGGGCCATTGAGTCATCCGACGACAGTGCAGTTCCGCACCCCCTCGGCCCAGCGAAGAGTAAAAACCCTACCACTTAGGAAGCGGAGCCTTGAAGGTCACCAAAGGAACCATGATGTCCAAGGCAAGTGCACCATCTAGACTCAGAGTTCAGAGGGACTCACATCTCCACTTTCTTCCTCGGCAGGTAGGAGCTGGAGATCTGGTGCATGATCACCAGCGCTGGGTAGAGGGGCAGGGCCAGGCACAGGTACCAGGACCCACCTTTGATCTGGGCCTGGAACCACACCGAGTACATGCCCAGGAGCACCGTCACTGTAGCCATCAGGTAAACCACCAGTCCACAGGTCAGATGGTAGAGCTTGAGGCGAGCCACCCTCGAGACCCCGGCTGCCCGGGGAAAGAGGAGGCAGAGCCCGTACAGTGCCTGGGCCCCTGTGGCCAGCAGTGTCAGAATCCCTACCCAGCTGTGCCAGGACACCAGGTGGGGCAGCTCACTGCGGGTCTTGCTGGCGATGATGAAGCCCAGGCCCAGGGTGGCACAGAGGATGGCTAGGGTCTGTCCCACCCAGTGGAGTCCGATCCGGGCCTTTCTGGAGCAGAAGAAGAACAGGGAGTGCTCAGGCGAGAAGAGCAGGATGGCCTCGGCCATGCACAAGCAGAACTGTGAACACAGGAGAGGGCCAGTAAGCCTGGAGCCCGCCTGGGAGGCCTGAGGAGGAGGAGGTACCCTCCGACATCCTCACAACATGGAAGACAAAGGGCAGGGGCTAAAGAACTCCCACCAGGACCTCCTGCCTCACGGGTCCACGTTGCTGGGCACAGATGGGAATCAACACTTGAGGGAAAGTCTCTGTCACTCCAGCTGACATCCAAGTCTATGCACCCCTCCCCCCAGCCCAGATGAGGACTCCCATTTTTTTGGCCAATGACAACAGCAAATGTTGAAAGCTTCCTCCTGAACTTTGGAGGAGGAGCGACTAGACACCGCCCCTTTCACTTCCTCCATTCAGGCCCTAGTGGAGAAATATGGCCTATGCCCTCCCACCCCCATCAACTACCTGACACAGCCCAGCCCTCCTATGTTTCTCAATCTCAAAGGTTGTCAGGAAAGTTGGAGCCCTGCCTACCTCCCCCACTTCTATGAGCCTTAGCAAGGCTGAGCCCTCTGAAGGCTGGATGCTTCTCTAGGGACATAGCCAAACAAATCAGCTGCATAAAGAAGCCCAAACTCACCGCCAAGGCCATGAATACGGGGTGCCAGGAGAAAAGACCTAAGGATCAAAGAGAACAGACTGACGGCCTGGGCGCCATTGTTTCTGCCCCTGAAGCTGGCTGGAGCCCAAATAATCTAGCCACAAGGGACAGGTCAGTGTACTATCCCCGGCCCTAATCAGGAATCAGGATTTCAGGGCAAAGGGGAGCAGCCAAGGGGCTCCATGGTGAGCGACCATGAGGACGAACCCACACCAACTCAGCCTGGGTTCGCCCCTGGGCACCGCACAGCTGTTAGCCCAGTCCCAGACTGGACCTCGGCCTCCCTCCCTGTATCCTCCACGAGGGGCTCTATTCAGCGTACACTAGTGAGTTCAGTTTGGTTGTCTGCCTCGCCTCCTCAGCACCCAGAGCCCCGCCCCACCACACCCTTACTACCCTTCATCCTTCTGTCACTCCCCTACCAGGGCCCCCACTCCAAGTCTCCCGGCGCTCCCAAGCGCTGCCCAACTTGCACCTTGGCTCCGCCCCCTTCCCTGGCCCCGCCCTGCCTTGCACACTCACTGGTTCCCGGCCGGGACAGCAAAGTCAGAAAGATGGTGAAGCCCAAAGCTACCAGGTGCGCCAAGATAACACTGCCTCTCCGCAGCCAGCGGGTCAGTCTCGGCTCCCTCGCTGGAGCGGGAACCAGACCTACCTCCAGGGTCTGCATGGCCTAACCGGGCCGGCGCACACGCCCGGCTGCCGGAGCGCGTCTTCCGGGTTTGCGAGCGCCCAGGAGCCGCCGCTGCGGGACAGGCCCCGCCCCCAGACGCCCGGCTGTGCGGCAGCTGTGCCCACAGCGCCCTCTGGGGGTTAGGGGGGACGGGTTGCCCGAGAGAGCACCCGAGGACTTGGGGCACTGGACAGCTCCTGGCCCATTGTTGTTTCCTAAGCCAACCTCACAGTATCTTTGTCTACAAAGGTTTATGTGTCATGCAGCCTGCAGAAATCACATTTCTGGCAACTGATTTCACCCAAACCCCAAGTCACAAATTGGCTACACTGAACCAAGGCTCTGGAACCCGTGTTTTCATGGAATACTGGATTTCCCTGGCTGCCCATTCTTTCCTACTATCCCTTTACAAGGGAAGAAGACTCCTTGACTTAAAACAAGGAGGCCAAAAGGAAGGAACAAGGGGAAAAACAGTGCTGCGACCAAATGAGTCAGGTTTGAAGACCAACAGTTGTCCCCAGTGCGATAAACGGAAGAACGAGGGCACTCCCAGCCCCGCTGCCTCCACACCATCTGCTCAGCCCTGGGGAGCCAGGTGATTGATTCTAAGGGGCCAGGGCCTCAACACCCAGGGAGCTCTGCAAGTGATCAGACCCTTCCTGACTCCAAAAAAGGTGCGGTTCAGCTCAAGGAGGCCGAGCAAGGAGAGGCTATACCCCTTTCCTTCAGGGCAAACCCGCAGGCCAGGGAGGGAGAGACCAAAACAGGCAGGGGCATTCTGAGAATAGGTACCAACGCAATTCAGTTCCCTGCAGCGGTGGTGAAGCGGCAGGAGCAGCTGAAGAAATGAAGCAACAATTTGGAGATGTGACAGAGACCCAGGGTTGCTGAGACCATAAAAGGGCCACAGTCTGACTGCCACAGACCCTCTGGGCAAATATCCAAGAACAGAGCCAGAGGTGAGGCTCCCTCCCGGTGAAGCTCCCTTCCCACAGGGACTGGAGTCTGCTCTGGAGTCGAGATTCTGGGGAAGCACTGCTCACTGACAGCCATGCCTCATCGCCCTGTCTGGAAAGACGACTCTCCAGTTATACAAATCCCAGCCATTTCCACAGTGTTTCAAGGGACAAGGAAAGGGATCTGGAGTCGGGCTGTCTATCATCTCCATCTCCTGGGGGACAGTTGGGGACAGTAAGGACACTCATTTTGTTACATGCTTTTGCTTCCTTCCTTTTCTATGTTTCTGTCTTTACATTTCCTTAGCAGCAACAGAACAGGGAGACAGTCTTGAGGTATTTTAAAGATTTTTTTCTTAAAAAAAATAATATAAAGTTATAAAAAGCGGCAGCAGCCTGGGGGCCTGGATCTGGAGGGGAGGAGGTGCTGGCGGCTCCATCGAAGTGGGCAGGCACTTTCTTGTTAATGGGCTTTTGACTGCAGGAAGACAAGAGGCAAGAGACAGGGTCAGGCTGGGGGGCCAGTCCACCTCCCTAGCGAACTGTGTGGACCCCAAGAGCTGAGGCTTGATTTCGTCCTGCCGGCCTAGTAAGCAAAGCTGGGCAAGGGGGCAGACGAAAGCCGGCCTCGCAGGGGCGGCCTAGCAAGCACTCACGCACATATGCACGCTCAGGCCCTGGGCGGCGGTCACACCCACTGTTCTCATATGGGCACCAGAGGTGCAGGTAGGCCTGCAGCCCATGCCTAACCCAGGGGTGCATCCCCCCTGCCTGCCCCCCCGTAACAGCCTCTGGGCTAAGACCTCACGGACCACTCTTAGCCTACTGCTCCAGGCCACCATCAACAGAGGCCCCCAAATCTGACTGCTGGCTTTACCAAAAATGCTGGAGAACTTGCCTGGCACCCAAACACCTAGAAGTGGGGACCTGTGCAAGGTGGGCATGCACGCATTTATGCACTTTGGGTTGGGTCCCTGCCCTTCAATGCCCTGATGCCCAGGGACAAAGCCAATGAGCAAGACTGGCCGGCCCACGCTGCTGCACAGAGCGTTAGGCCCACAGCCCAGGGACCCGAGCTCAACACCACAGCCCAAACCTTTCTTCTCAGAGCTCATGGAGTCCAACTTCCTTTCCTTCAGGGGACAGAGGTAGCTCCAGTTCCTGGAGTAAGGGCCACAGTCAATTCAGAAAGTGGCCCTTTGATTAAAGCAAAGGTGGGGGAGGGCAGCAGAGGCACTATCTCCTCCGCCCAAGGGAAAGGGCTGGAGAGAGCAGAAGGCCCTTCAAGCAAAAGCCTGTGTCACCTTGCAAAGAGCTGAACCCCTCTCCCTAAAGATGGCCCAGGAATTCTCTCAGCCTCCCCTTTCTCCCCTCTCTGCACAAACATTGACCCAGCACCCTGTCTGTGTCACCCAGAATGCACTCCACCCTCAGCCATCCTGACCCTTCCCTGCCCACGCTCTTTGGGGAGCTGGGCGGGTACCTTCAGTGCAGAACACTTCTCCTCAAAGGCCAGGGCTGGACCTGGCTTCTTGCGGCGCACGGAGCAGGCCCCATCAGCAGGGGGGCCAGCCGGGCAGTGCTTGGCCTTCACCGGCCGGCAGTAAGTGGCCAGGTTTTTCCGCTTCTTGGCTACCTCCTCCTCAGAGAGGCAGTTGGTCGGCAGGGCCTTGGCTGGGTGGCCGGCCGCTCCCCGGCTGTCCAGCTGAGAAGCCTTGACCGCAGTGGAAGGCTGATGAGGAGAGCCCCGACAGTCCAGGGGCCCTGCCCGCTTCACTCGGGGCCCCACCGTCCCATTAAGCCCCATGTTCAGGGCTGTTTTCGTCTTGGCCGAGAGGCCCCGGCAGCTAGAGGGTTTGCCTTTTCCAGTGGGCTCCAGGATGCAGGTCCGTTTGAAACTAGTGGGGCCAGGGGATAACTTCCGCTTGCGGGAAGGGGCCTCCACCTCGGCCCCGGCCTTGCCTTTGGCCGACTTGCTGGCCTTCGAAGGTGGGAGCTTGCTGAAGGATGGGGAGGGCGTGTTGGCAGGCAGCGGAGAGGTGATGGCCTGGCTCCCACCCATACACTCCGCCTGGCTGCAGGCGGCTGCCACACTGGGGGAGCCTGCAGGGTAGCTGGGGACAAGGCTGTCCTTGGTGGGAGGTATGGAAGCTGGGCAGGCAGGTCTGGGGGGTGGGCCTGGAAGGCGGGGGCAGCTGCCGGTAGAGGAAGGGCTCAGGGGAGCGGAGAGCGATGAGCTGGCAAGATGGGACGGAGGCTCAGCGGCCGGTGGGATCTTCCTGCAGCAAAAAGAGGGCGTCACTGTCATGTCAAACAAACAAGAGGGCCTCTCCACCAACGCCCACACCAGTGTCTGCCCCACCTAGAAACGGCCCAGAGCCCTGCCAGTGCTGCCATCTGCTGGGAGACACTGGAAGTGAGTGTTAAGAAGAAGGTACAGGGAGAGATAGGCAGGAAGGAGCTAGCACAGAGACCCATGTAATAACCTCCTTTTAAATGTCTGGACACCCCCTACTGCTAGTTACCCAAAACGTACTGGAAGTGATGGATAACAGTCGAGAGTCACTCCCAGACCACTATATCTGCCCTGCCTTAGCCCAGCACCAGGCCACCAAGTTTCCCCACCTCCTCTTCCTTCTGGCCAGGGTCTTGCTGGCAAGCAGCCAAGCCACATCTATGGGTATGTGTGAAGAATTAGGGCTTCTGAGGCTTGAGTATGCCTGGGGCCTGGGGAGGGAAGCTCTGCGCCCGAGACACTCACTTCCACATGTGTGAGCTGAGGTGCCTCTCCAGCATGGAGCTCAGCGCTGAGCAGAACCGGTCCAGCCGGCGGCTGAACACGTAGCACCCTGGACTCACCAGCCGGCTCCCGAAGGTGCAGAACTGGAGACAGAAGGGAGGTACACGGTTGGCAGGCCTGAGATACAGGGAGGGCACCCACACACAGGATCTGACCCCCCAACATGGGGCAGAGGGAGGGCTGGGCCGCTCCCCCACCCCGTCCCCACCTCCCCAGGTCCTTACCGCCTGTGGCCTGGGGGGCCGGGATGCATAATGGCAGTCAGGGGGGAGGTGGAGGTCATCAGATGTCCCCTCCTCCTCACTCTCCTCGCTGGAGGCCTGGGCCCCACCCCGGGGCAGGGGGAAAGGGAACAGGCCTGGGTCCCCATCACCACCACAGGGGCCTGCATCATCCAATTCACTCTCAGAGGAGGCCCGGGACCTGGAAGGGCCAAAGGGGATGTGAGGGCAGTGTGACAGGAGTGGGCCGGGGTGGGGCTGTCCCTGCACCACCAGGCTCAAAAAGCCAGCAAAGAGGAAGGGAGGACAGGAAGGGAGGGAACAGCAGAGCTCACAGTGTAAGAACCAGGAAGATCAGGGGCCACAGCTCCCTGGGGACTCGCTCGGCAGCCCCTCCACTGCCCAGGCCCTGCCCCCCCAGGGGGGCGCTCTGCTCCACATTTGCCTCCTCCAGAAAGTCTTCTGAGTTTAACTGCACCCGACTGTGGTCTGCCCCATCAAGTCTCTCAACCCCCTTCTGGCATCACATACTCCTGTGAGCCTGCCCAGGAGCTGAGCCCGTGTCTCGGGTCTGCCCCTTGAGTGATGGGCAGAGATGCGTGTGGGTCTCCTTCAGCAAGACAGGCTCTCCCCCGGGGTCCGGTGCAGCCTCTGCACACGAAGAGGCCAGCGAATGAATACACAGTAGGACCGCCTCGCCCAGGCCCCTGAGCCTTTTGGCTCGCTGACCCTTTTGGCTGCCCAGGTCTGAGTTTTGGCCTGTTGGAAGCAGCTGGGAAAATGTCTTAATCCTGGGTGTTGGAACTGGCATGCTACAGAGGCTGGGGCACCACGGTGTGCTTGGTTAGAAGCAGGGAGTCGCCTACTTCCGCACCCACTGGGGCCCCGGGTCTCCCCCCACTCTCTGCGTAGAGTGAATAGCATCCTTCAGGGGTCCCTGATGGCAGGGAGCCAAGTGCCCCCAGGTGAGTTGGGGCTAGACCCTGGACGTACCTGGGCAGTGCACAGTATGAGTAGGTCTGCTTGGCCCGAGCAGAGAAGGTGCTGCTGGGAGCGGCGGCCACCGCCACCATGGGGGCCGAGGAAAGGGGCTCCTGGGAAGGGCGCTCAAGGGCCGGCTCCTTGCACCCTGGGCTCTTCTCCTTGGGGGACTCCCCTTTACGGGAGTTGGCCTTCAGCTCTGCCACGAGCACATCGAAGTCCTTAGCCCGGCCCTGGACCTCCCGGCGCTGGTGCACCGAGTGGATCTAGAACACAGCAGGATGGAGGGGTGGGGAGGGGGGTGTCAGCTGAGCAGGGGTGAGGGGCAGCGGTGTGCTCTGGCCTGGGCAAGCGGAGAGAGAGGGGGGTGTGAGTGTGTTTGTGGGTGGGTCTGCGTGTCTCCGTTTCACTCCCCCACAGGCCAGAACCCTCCTTTGAGATGCCAGGATCTGAAGTCATCCCCTGCCTCCGGCCCCCACCTGGGCCCACTGTGGGCAGCCTCCCCTCCCCTGGTCTGGGCTTCACCCCATCCCTGGAGCTGGATGGTGGAGAACATCTCAGTTCCTCTCCCAGCCCAGGGCCCATGTCCGTGCTGTCCTCCCTGGATGTGCGGTAGGAGAGGGGTTACCTTGCACGTCAGTAGGCGGGTGCAGATCTTTTTGGTCTCTGGATTTATCACCCCACACTGCCTGTTGAGGTCGCACTCTTTCCCTATCAGGAAAGTGGTCCCCGTGAGCCCCCGAGCCATTTCCAGGGAAGGCAAACTGGGCCTCAGGCAAAGCGCCCACCCCCTGCCCCGCCCTCCAGTCTGAGGCTGCAGGCCCCCTGCCGGAGGACTGTCAATGGGCCTCAGTGGCTCTTTGCTGGGCACAAGAACCATCCCTGTCCCCATTCCCAGCCCAGGCACTCCTTCTGGGGGCTCCAAGCCCAAAACAGGGTAACACATATCAAAACACAAAAGCAGTCCCCGGCACCCGGGATGCCAGGGAAACCAGCTGGGAGAGGGGGCTCGTGCCCTAGGCATCGGTGGGAAAAGATGCAGGTCACCAGCCCAGGTGAGGAGGGCCAATTTCACCTGCTTAGGCACAGGCTCCCCCAGCCTTGATCAGGAGACCTAGGCTTACGCCCCCAGAGAGCAGGCAGGCCAAAAGTGTCCATGTCGAGGGTTGACCCGGGGCTCCTGTACTCTGGCAGCCAGTGACGGCCAGGCCCCCTCCTTCCCGCCCTCTTCTGCACCAGGTTCAGGGACAGAGCGAAGAGTCCCCACTCTACCTTCCTGACCCCCAAGACCACGACTACTCACGAGCCATCTTCCGGTGGGTTTTGGGGGGCAGCCTAGCCCCACCAGGCTCCTTTTCAGGGGGGCTGCCTTCAACCCGATGACTGGGACCCTCGCTGGGGGTTATCTTGATGTTCTCTCTGCCAGGAAGTTCTTTAGAAGGGGGCGCCATGGGGGGTTTTCCAGGGGAGTCCTTGGCGAGGCTGCCTGGCTGGCTGAGGAAAGCAGAGGGCGGGGCCACCCTGACTCCGTGTCCATCGGGCTTCGGGAGACTGGACATCTTCTCCAAATTCACCACAGGCACGAAAAGGCTACACATGGAGAGAGGGCGTGGACTGGGGGCAGGGAGGCGGGGCCTGGGGCCTGGGCTGTAGCCCAGGGCCATCTCCTTCCCAGCCCTGGAGCTTGGGTGGGCTCCAGCAGGAGTGCAGAACGTGGGAAACGAGGGCCCCACACTCCCTGGGGTGCAGGGAAGGGGGCTGCAGAGGGAGCTGGACGCCTCCTGCTGTGGGCAGCACCCATCGCCCCTTGGCTGCCTCTACCTGTCAACCCCTCCCTGGGCCGGGGTCAGGGCCACTCCTCGGGGGCGGTCTCCAGCCTCTCCTTACCAGAGGTTGTCCTTCTGGGTCTTCTCAGGAGGTTGGTGGCCACGGCTCCGGGACCCCTGGCCCTTCTCCCTGGAGGAGGTTTTGGTGGAACCTGGGGCCCTACAAGCGGGGCCCTGCCCATTCACTACATGGCATTTCTGAGAGCTGGCAGGGGCTGGAGGTGGGGGTGGGGCCCGGGCGTAAAGCTTGCTGAGGGGCCCATGTCTTCTTTCTGTCACCAGGAGGTGGAGAGAGTAATCCAGGTGAGTGACCAACTGCCTCCTTCCCAACCTGCTAACCCTGTGCACAGACTCACCACAGAGAATCTGGTGGAGATTTTAAATGTGCCTCCTTCCCCTTGGAATCTGAACTTTCAAGACTCAAAATCCTAGGACCCAGCTTCCTGCACCTCTTAGCTCCTCAACTCCACCAGAACTGCTGCAAGTTTGCTCACACAGTCATCCCAACCTGCCACGACCCTCCTAAACCAGCCCCCACCCCCAGGACTTTCCTATCCCCAAGGCCTTCCTCCATTACACACTTGACCTCCCAGCCGGCCAAGTTCCAAGTTCCGCTGCCCCCTGCCCCCCTCCATCTCCTCCCTCGGGCTCCCCTCACCGCAGTGCTTCTGGAAAGCTTGAGGCTTCACCACTTGGCTGCAGTGGTTACATACAACCAAGTAGAAGTCGTCATGGGCAGGGCAGTGCCCGAAGATGGACATGTCTGCAATGAAGAAGCCCTGATCACTGGGGCTGGGCACCCCAGGGCTCCCCTGGGGGACTGGCCAGCACTCCCACCCCACAACTGAGGAGACACTTCCCTTCCCTGTTGATGTGACAGGCTTTATTCGGGAGGCTCCCAGCTTCCAGAGTTCGACCTAACCAGTCCCTGAGAACGCGGGCTTTCGGGAAAGTGGGCATCAGCTCCCTGCGATTAGAATCTTCTGGAACAGGTCACAGAAGCCAGGAGAATGGGTGGACTCAGACCTATCCGAGCGAGGATCCCAGACCTGTCCCGTCAGGCAGCCACCTCCTGGGATGTAGTGGCAGAGCAGAGGGGTCCTGACTGCCCTGGGCCCCAGCCCTGGCGTGTACTGATGCTCACCTTCCTTAATGAGGGTCATGGCGTCCAACTTCTTCATGCTTTTGTTAGTCTCCTCCAGCTCAGTCCCTGGAGGAGAGACACAGCTCAGGAGGAGCAACCTCTGCCCAGAAGGCCCGTCTCCCACCCACCAGTGCCTGCAGCCCACAGCCAGGCAGTAGGAAGCCCACGCTCCCCAACAAGCTCCTGATGCTCAGGACCACTCGGAGAGTGTTCAGTTGGGTCCTTCTCCAAGTGCCCTTTCTTCCTCCATCTGTTGCCTCTGGAAGGAGCTAGTCCCATTAGGAGGGATTCAGCCACCTTTCTTATAGACCTTTGATGCCAGGGTGAGGTTCAGGGTTCCATTGCTGGCTAGTTGAGTGACGGTAGGTAAACAGCTTTTCTGGCCTGCTTCCTCAGTCAAATGGGAAACAGTTCTTAACATATTTTACTATAGATCCCAAAGTCCCTTCTTGAGATTTCTCATATGGGTCCTTTCTGCTACTCCGTGGCATCCCAGATGGAAACTCTTCCAGGTCCCCATCCCCATGAACTCAATTTCATTCCACCTGGGTTACTGCAGCATCGTCAAAGTTACACCCAGCTTCTCAGGTCCTACGTTGGCATGACAGCCACAGAGCAGAGAAACTGAGGGTTTGGGGCCCTCTGGCATCTTCAAAGTCCCCTTGGTCAGTGATATAAGCCCCTTCCCTCTTTAGGGGGGGTTCTGGGCCAGGGTTACCCTTGTTCCTCTTGGTTTCTGGGTGCATGGCCAAAAGATCGCAGCTGTGCAGAACAGCTCTTTCCCCACCCCCCTACCTCCCTCCCCTCCCCTGCCTCCTCTATTCCCCTCCCTGTTTCTTGAAAAAAAAAAAAAAAAATCAATTCTGAGTCACCAAACCCGTCTGATTCCATTTCCGGTTCTCAATGCACCCAGACCCTGACAATGGCCCCATCCTTGCCCACAGAGCACGGGGTGGCCTGGGCTCCCACTTAGGTCTGCTTCAGCTGCCCACTAACAGATTTGCCCCTTTCTAGGCTGAGAAGACAGTTGACAGTCTTATATAATCTCCAGACAAGAGGAGTGGTGGGTTAGGCATGCAAGAGACAAGGGGCAGCTCCCATCTCAAGTCAGTTAAAATGCAGTGATGGACAGAACCGAGCTGGGAGTCGGAAGTCTCAGAGGAGAACAAGTGTCATCAAGAGACCGCAGGGAGCCATCCTCCTCCTCCACCTCTTCTTACTTGCAAACTTCTTCAGGGGCGTGATGCTTGCTGTCACCCCAAAGGCCACGACGAGGCCAGGTGCCCCCAGGGGCCCAGGAGACAAAGATCAGGAGAAGGGGGCTGTCAGCCTGATCACCAAAGGCACTCAGGGGCCTGGAGAAGGTGGGGTTTAGGGGAGAGAGGCAAGAGGCCCGGGAAAGGACGGTGGGTTGGAGGTATGGATGATGGACAGAAGGAGGCAGGAAGGGAGGATGGATAGAGGGACAGACCGACAAACTAATGCGGAGGAGGCTGGGGGTCCAGTAGCGCCGCAGCCAGCAGGCAAAAGCCGAAAAGGAGCAGAAGGTGTGGGGCAGAAGGCGAAGGAACAAGGGGGGCTGGGAGGAGGGCACAGAAGTGGGGTGCGTGGGAAACACGTGGAGAGGACCGTGGCGGCTGGGGAAAGCCCAAGGCAGGTTTAGCAGGGGCGGAAGCTGGAAGACAGCAAGCAAGGAGGAAGATAAAAGCAAGTACATGTGGGGACAGGTATTGGGTACCGGCAGAAGCAGAGGTGGGTAGGGTGGGCTGAGAGCGATGAGCCGGCGCTAGGACCCGGAGGCGCGGAGGAGGGGGAGCGGGCGGGCACTAGGACCCGGCGGGTCCTTTGTTTGGGGGGCCGGGGAGCCGGACGGCGGCTCCTGTCGGCAGCTCCCCTCTGCTAGAGGGGACCCGGAGTGGGGGAGGGGAGACAGTGATGGGGTCCCCAGACTCTAGGGGAGCTTCACTCACCATCGGCCGCGGGCAGGTCGGCCCGTTCCACCCACGAGCTCCAGCTCTGTCCCGCGAAGTCATCGAGACTCGGCAGCCGCCGCTCCAGAGCGGCCATTGCTGCCGCCGCGCGTTCACGCACCGCCATCACCGCCGCGGACGCGCGCCCGCCCCGGCGCCGCCGCCGCGGGGCCCCCCTCCCCCAGTCCCGCCGCGGGCACGCCTCGCCTCTCCCTCCCACCTTTCCAGCTCACTCTTTGCACAAGCGCAGCACAGGTCGCCTTTCCCTCACCCTCCCTTCCTCATAGCCTTCTGGGAAATGTAGTCTTGGAGGAGGTGCCGTTGCCTACCGATCTTACGGGGAGAGCCGCTCCGAAATGCACAATTGAGGGGAAAAAAGAGACCAAGGCCCCAGAACTTCCTCTCCTAACCCTTGTGCACGCATTCTTTCTGCTCCCAGCCCACTCTCTCAAGTTCGGCGCAAAACGCCCCAGCCGCTCTGAGTCGTGCCTCCCCCAACCGGCTGGCGCCCCTTGCAGGGCTGGCGGCTACGGAGCGACTTCGCTCCCCCGTAGATGGAATAGGGTAGGTGCAAGGAGGTGGGCGCGGTGAATCAGAAGGGCAAGGGGAGGGAGTCTGTAGGATGTATTGAAGGACACAGGGGTTGGAGTGGGGGAGGGTCCTAGGCTCCCGTGTTGTGCCTCCTTTGCGGGAACCCCACGCTGCCCTGATGAAGAGCAGAGGCTTGGAGTAGCGTTGTCCGTGTTTGGGAGGATCCAGCTGAACTGACCGAGATCACCTGTCAGGATGACACAAGGCTGTCTGCGAGCCAGGGCCAGCCCCGGAACTGGCCAGCCCCAGAGATGCTTTGCAGCATCTCTGCTGATCGTCTTTCTCCTCCTGAGCCCTGCGATCGATCCCCTGTTTTGCCTCTTCCCAAACCCCGGCTGGACCCTGACTCCATCCATCACTTTGGCTTCTTTTCCTTATGAATATTTCCTCTGCTGGAAGGGGTGCTACCAGAGCTTCGGCACTCGGGGATTTCTCATCAGATCTGTCATTTTCCTCGCTAAGGCCTGAAAAATACCTTAATCATCCACCTCTTTCTTCTTCTCAGCTGATAACATTTCTTCCCACCCTCACACGATCAAAAGACAAAAGCCCGCTCCTCCCCATCACATCAGAAGAGAGACACTAATTCTCTTTGCCCTCCTCAGCCCTTCACACTTCACCTCATATTCATTCCTTCACCTGAGGAGGAACCCAATCAGAGGCGAATTAGTCCAAGTCTGTGCCTCCAAAACCTCGAATTTCTTCTCCCTTTCCCCTCAAGGATGATCTCTGAGGGCAGGGATTCCGGACCTGAGAACCTAGGGGACCCAGGGACCTAGTGACATTGAATGTCATGTTGAGCCCAGGTGTGTTTTTCTAGGGAATGTAAACATCCCGTGCGATGTTCATAAGTGGGGAGAAAGGTACAAGTTTGTTCAGCAAGAACCTTTACAGCTAAGAGGGCGAGCATATGGCCTCCTCGAGTCTGACAGGACGCCTCTCTAGGTCACAGATGGTAGAGAACAAATGTAAAAGCTTGGTGGAAGCCAGTCTCTCTCGCCTTTTGAGTTTGCTCTAAATTTGCTAATGAGTCTCCATTGCTTTAGACTAACGATGCCACCAAAAGAGATGTCCCCAGACTGGGGCCAGCCAGGAACAGCTCCTCAGTCTTCAGACTTTACTGCATGGGGTGCTGAGTAGAGAGGAGTTGAATGATCTTTTGATGGAAATGCAGATGTTCATTCAAGAACTTAAACGAGGGGAGGAAGAGGGAAAAAATCCCCAGAGGGGCTCCAGTCTTGGCTCCTTCATGGCAAATGCTTGAAGCACTGTTTATTCCAACGTGTAATAATAAGCACCAGAAATGACACGCGGCATTCTCCCCCCACCCCTGATCTGCAGTCCCGGAGGGAGGAGACCTATGACCATGATGGTGGAGGGAACTCATGTTCAGGAAAGGTCCTAAGTAGGCAACCTAGGGGGAGGGAGGTCAGAGTTTACTAGGGCAAAGGGCCCTGCCTGTTGGCCTCCTGCAGCAGCTGGAGAAACCAGACACCTTCTTCTACCTCTGGCCCCACTAGGCAAAGTGGTGCTGCCAGCCCGGCTTGGAAGGGACACGAATCCTATGAGGACAGCCCTGTCCTTGGGCATTTGGCCTCGCCCAGCCCGCTGAGGGTAATGAGGTGAAGCAGTCTTTCCTCTTAGGGAGGGAGAGGCCATAGCCTAAATCGAGGCTCTTCTGGGTGAGAACAAGCTAGCCCCTGGAGGGGAAAGAGCCTTCTCTGCCCCAGGGAAAGTTTGGGGCTAGGTGTCCTCGGCAGGGGTGCAGACCCCCCACTCCCCTTCCCCAGTGATAGGCCAGTCGCTAACTTCGACCCCTAAAGGTGGATACTATATCCATCACATTGCAAATCAGGTATAAACATGCGTACAGAATCCAAACAAAGTTCCAGTAGAGGCTGCTCACAGACCCCCACAGGGGCAGCTTGCAGAAGAATGAAGTCACCCCTTTGTTCTCTGCATCTCTTGAAGCAAAACTGCCCCCCCTTGTATGTGAGTAACCACGGGGACAGTTCAGGACAGAGTTTCAGACTTAGAAACACTCTCATCCCCAACTCCTCTCTTCCCTCCTCAAATCCCTTCTCCCAAACTGGAAAAAAAAGAAGAAGAAGAAGAAGGAGGAGGAGGAGGAGGAGGAGGAAGAAAAACATCTAATTCTTGAATCGTAGGGCTCTGGAGCATATGAGGATATAAACCTCTCACTCGCCCTGTCAGGTGGGGGAACTCTGACCCGAAGAAGAAATGATTGGCCCAAAGGCCAAGGTCCTGACCCCTGGATGCCCTGGTATGCACACGTTCCTGTGAATGACATCTTGGGAGGTGAGGAGGTGGGAGGGGTTGACTCAGTCCTGAGGAGAGGTTGGCACAGGGCACTTAGTTGACACCCTGCTGGAAGATGGCCAGATTCAATCTTCTCCATCCGTCTCTGGGCAGCCCTATGGCCAGGGGGGGCTGGGTTGGGGCTGGGTAGTCAGCACTGAGTCCTAGACCCTGGGGTCCAGAGAGGGACTGAAGGAGGGACCAGAAAGAGGAGACACAACAAAGACACACGGAACCGGGTCCCGATGTGAAGAAGCACCAATAGCGCCGGCCCTCCCCGGACAGGATAGGGGAGAGAGCCTGGGAGAGATGAGGCCGCAGTGGGGAATGGCAGGCAAAGGGAGAGGCATATCCTTTAGTAAAGGTGAGAAGGGGAAGTGTGAAAGGGGGACCAGAGAAGGAGCTGTGGGGGGCCGGCAGAGAATGAGGAAGGAAGGGGCCCATCCATCCATGTCCTAGGGTTCTGGGGCAACTTAGCCTTATGATGGTCCTTTGGACCCTTCCAAAGGCCCTTTCTGGCCCCCAGGAATGAAAGGAAGGCCCAGCTAGACTTGGAGAAGGATCTCGAATGCCTCAGACCCAAGGGGCTGGGGGAAAGGGTGGATGGAGATGGACAGAGAGGTTGGGGGAGGTCTGGGATGGGGATGCTGTAAGACCCCTTCGAGACCAAGCCTAGGAAGGAGGCCAGGGAGGAAGGTAAGGAGTTTAGGGCAGGCATGAGTTTTGAGTGCTGGTGGAAAATGCCCCAGCCTGGAGGGGCAGGAGGACTGAGGGAGCAGAAGAAACTGACCCCCCCCCAGCAAGCTTCCTGACTTTAGTTTCTTGAATTTCAATGCAGTTGCAATGTATCTGCTCCCCACGGAGTTTAAGGCTTCCTCGGGACCCTCTGAAGGCTGTTCCCCAGGCTAGTGAGCCTCCCCAGTTCACGCATGGTGGACTCTGTGGGCAAGCAGAGGCCAGAGGAAGGAGTGGGAAGCACACTGAGCCAGGACTCTCTGGAGATCAGTGCCAGCACGGGGCCTAGGTGGCACCCATCGAAAAGGGCTCACTAACCCACTGGTGGGCCCTTCACGCAAGGGACCAGGGAGACGGCTGCCAACCAGTTTCCCCTCCCCCCACTTTTATTGACAGGCTGATAGAAGTGGCTGCTAGGAACCAGTCTCAGGGCTCTGGTCTCCTGCCTCCAACCCTTGCGCGCAGCAGGGGCTGGGAGGCACCCTGCGGCCCCAAGTAAGATGCCTGGGTCCAGGCAGTAGGCAAGAAGCCCTGAGTTCCTGCCATCCCATCCGGGGCTCCAGCAAGAGGAGGGACAGGAAGCCACTGGGAGGGCTGCCCAGGTTTCCGACAGCTGCTGCCTGCCCATCCATCCATCGTCGACAAGGACTTCTCAAAGCTCCAAGGCCAGAATGGTGGGGGAGGGGAGGGGGAGCAGGAAGAAGGGGGCGGTCCTGGAAGCCGAAGGTGTTTAAGAGGTGCTGTCCTGTTCCGGAGCAGCTAGGCCAAGGCTGCTTACTGCTTCTCCACGGCTCCCTGCTCAGCCGCGCTCTCCTGGCTGGGGGCCTGGCCCTGGGCCTGGGCCTGGGCCTGCCCGTGCCACGGGGTCTCCTTGAACACAAACCAACAGTTCCCGGCCCACAGGAAGAAGTTGATAAAGCCGAAGAGCTGCAAGGACATCGGGTAGTTTGTGAGAAGAAGAAGGGGCATCGTGGAAACAGGGAGGGGAGTGCCTGGGGGGGGCAGATGGGGAGAGGGCAGAGGGCCGCAAAAACTGAAAGCCAGGTCACTGGATATTGAGATGGAGTTCAAAGCCATCACCCACTAGGAGGTCCTCTGATGGGAGTGTCTAACCGTGTACAGATGCACCCAAGCTGAGGCATGGGCACTAAGGGACGCTGGCCCCTGCGGTGGAGTGTTGTGCAAAGCACAGCAATGAGCAAGGGCCCTGGTGGCGCTCCCCACAAGCCCTGCAGGACCCAGTTCCCAGAGCCTTCTGCAGGGTGGGTGTGGCCAGAGCTGTCCAAGGTGCTCCTTCCTTAAGGCCAGGGACCCGGCCAGGGAGGGACCCAGCCAGGGCTCTACTCACCTATTTATTCAAAATATTTAAAAACCTATCAGCAGGAAGTATTTGGGGGGAAGGGTACTGATGCCTGCAATTAACTTTGAAATGCATTAAAAATAAGATGGATTGACAGATGAAGAGAGGCGGATACACATGGCACAGTCTAGGTAATGAGTACGTGGGTGTTCATTGTAAAATTCTGCTGTGAGTGTGAACATTTTTACAATAAAATGTTGGGGGTGGTGGTGAAACCTATCGGCAGGGTTCCAGCGAGGTCTAGAAGGCCCCTGGTGTGCCAGACATTAAACCCTTCAGTTGCTGGGCCTTGGGGAGGTTCAGGCCATTTTCAGGGTAGGGTTGGTGGCTGGCATGACGGGACGTTTGAGGAGCTCCAGGCCTCAGCTATTTCCCAACTGATATGAAAATGTGTCCGCGGGCCCTGGCTGGTGTAGCTCAGTAAGTGCGGGCTGCGAACCAAAGGCTCACGGTTGATTCCCAGTCAGGGCACATGCCTGGGTTGCAGGCCCAATTCCCAGCAGGGGACGCACGAGAGGCAACCATACACTGATATTTCTCTTCCTCTCTCCTTCCCTTCCCCTCTAAAGATAAATAAATAAAATCTTTTTAAAAAATGTGTCAATGCCATGTCAGCTAGGATGCGCATACCCGCTGCCCCAGGGCTGCCCAAAGCCCTTCTCCAGCCTGGAGGCCCCAGTGACGATGAGCCCCTTCCCCTCTGGATCTGCACTCGGCTGTAAGCGCAGCCACAGCCCTGGGCGCCGCCTTCCCACACATGGTGAGAAGGCAGGGGGAGTGGGGGTGCGGGGGTGCGGAGAAAATCGGGGAAATGGGAAGGCGGGGTGCAGCAGGAGGAAGGGACAGGAGGCTGAGTGGCTCTTGGGGTCCCCTATCCCAAAATGACTTCTCGCAGCCAGCGTTAGGCACAGGGGGTGCTGCTCTGGGTGTAGGGGACATCAGCTGTGGGGTCACCCTCTCCGTTCTTCTCAGAACCCGCTGCTGGGACAAAACTGGGCACCTGGGACAGCCCCGCCTCCCCGCCCAAACCCTCTGGTGGCCGCAGGTCTCACCACGGAGAGGTTGACCAGCCCCATGGAGGGCGTGGCCCCGGCGCTGCACACCGCTTCCTCGCCGTGGCACACGGGCATGGCGGCGGTCAGGCTGGACGGCCGCGTGGCGCCCTTGACGTCGGTCAGGCCCTTGCCCCAGGCGGCTGCAGCTACCAGCCAGAAGAAGGTGAAGGAGACGGTCACGCAGAAGTCCTGGGAGGAGGAGAGGGACAGGAAACACAATCGCACCCCAGGTCCCCACTTCTCTTCCTCTTGCTGTAACGCTGGCGTCCTGGGGTCCCCGGACAGCCGCCTCTCCGGGTCCCAGATGGAGCCTCCGGGGTGGCCAGGCCGGTCCCAGCGAGGCCGCTCCCTTCCTCGGAGGAAATCCCGCCTCCAGGATAGTCCTTGCCCACGCCCTCAGACCCGAGGTCAGCTAGCAAGGCACCCGGGCGCCTGCTGGTCAGCGGTCACCCCAAAACCCAAGTTGCCTAGACTCCCCGTTCTCCCCTCCCTGCCTTTCCTTAAAGTTTTTGAAAACGGTTCTTTTTTTTTTTAACGTGTTTTTTGGTGACAGTTGACGACAGTAGTCTCGGGTGTACAGCGCAGTGTCTGAACCCACTAGCCTTCCCTTTGACCCACCACCCCGCGGCGACAACCAGTGGCAAACGGGGTCCCCTAAGACACCGCTCCGCCTCACACGCCCGGGACGGGGAGGAAGCAAAGGGGGAATAATATTAATAATAGCTACTATTTTATTCCCGCGTTATAGTTGAGGAAATGGAGGTTTAGAGAGAGCAAATAGCTTTTCCAAGAGCACACAGCTAGTAAGGGACAGTCCCGAGATTGGAACCCACTTAGGCCGGCCCGGAGCCCGCTTCTCGATGCTGTAGCCCTCCCTCGAGGAGGCCAGGCGGTGGAGGCTGGCAGAGCAGAGGCCAGAGGCTGGGGCCTTCCACCGGCCCCAGGGGCCAAAGGCAAAGAGAGGACAGGCGGCAGGGACCCGGAAAGCCGCGGGCTCTGGCTCGCGCCCACTCACCGCCAGCGGGAAGCGCTTGTTCTCCGTGTAGAGGGCGTGGAAGCGCAGGTAGAACACCAGCGCGGCCATGGTGTAGAAGAAGGAAAAGATGCCCAGTGTCACGAAGAACTCGGCGGGGGCAGAGAAGTCCCCCATGAGGTGCATGGTCTTGAAGGTGGAATCGTCGTCACAGAGGGGCATTTCGTACTGGGCCCGGTTCAACCTGCGGGGTGTCGGGCTGCTGAGCCAGGGCGGCCCTGAGGGGGGTGGCCTGTGCTCTCTCACCCCTCCCCCACTCTTCCAGGGGCCGAGAGGGTGGACCTTACAGCCAGGACAGGAGCGTCCCTGGGAGTCCCCTTAAATGCTGCCTCCCATTCAGCCACGCCCCAGACCCACTCATCTGCCTGCCCAGGTATGTGACCAAGGGTTTCCAAGTACCCCCAGGGCCCTTTAGGTCACAACCACAACATATACAGTCCATCCATCCTGGTAGCCGAGCCACCAGGAGCGGAGCTCCTCTCTGCCCCAGGGCAGACACAGGCCAGAGGGCTCCCGGCCTTCCTGAGGCTGCAGGGAGAACACTCTGGACAAAACAGAGAGGAAAACAAACATCCCAGTGTATACAAAAGACAACCTCGCTTGGCTGCCGCTGCTAGAAATTTCTGAAAAGGTGAGCCCTGTCCCCACTGTCCTCTGAATACTTGGGGTTCCCTCTCCCTCAGCTCCCAAATACCCGGGAAAGACTGTCCTCTTCTCCTGGGCACAGTGCACCTCCTTGTATTCCTGTGCCTGATAAGCACCCACCTCAGCTCTTTGGGGTCAAAGTACCAATGAGCGTCCTTACCTTCAAGGGAAGGAGGAGGCTGCTGAGGGTCAGAGAGAGCTGCCCAGCTTGTCCAGACTCTCATGACCCTCCCTTCCGAACTGCATGAGATCTTTCTGTGAAGCTGTTGTCACCTGCTGTTAACTGGACCGTTATCACCACAATGGCCCATCTGATTTCCCTCACGTTTTTCTTTGGTCAGTGAGTCTGAAACTCCTACAGCGCAGGAAGGACCCGCGTTCGGAGAGGGGTGGGCGGGGCCCGGCTGCTCACCTGAAGGGATAGCCGAACAGGACGATGATGGCGCTCACGTCCTTGGCCTCGTTGTTGCAGTGAACCATCGCTCCTGTCTCCCCGCTGTAGGAGCCGCAGCACCCAAAGGCGAAAATGGCAAAGAGCTGAGGGAGAACGAAGCCCTTCGAGAGTCAGAAGGCCTCACCTGGCCACGGAATGACCCTTCCAAACTACCCTCTGACTCTCACTAGTTCAGATAAGTGCAGGGGTGGGGGTGGCATCAGGACCTCTTCGAACAGGTCCCTCCCGGGTGGAGACCCTGGGCTCCCATCGGTTGTCCAGCCTCGGGGACCTGGGGTCACTGCACGGGGTGTGGACCCGATGGCTACATGAATAAGGCAACTTTGATGGTGTGTGGATGTGGCAGTGGGGGCCACAGGTAACCTTAAGATGATGACTAGCACAAAGTGATGTAGGCTTTTGGAACCTTCTAGCTCAAAGCTGGCCTTGAATTTCCTCCCCAAGGGAGAGGCACCCTGGAAATAGATTCCCCTGCACCAACCTGGATCAGGCACACTTGGAGTTCTTCCCGCGTCTCTCTCGAAGCCACCATGGGATCCCATCATTACCTTGTAGCTGATTTCCTTTTTTAATATATTTTATTGACTATGCCATTACAGTTGACCCATTTCCCACCCTTCATTCCCCTCCACCCTGCACACCCCTCCCCCATACTCCCTCCTTTAGTTCATGTCCATGTGTCACAAGTTCTTTAGCTTCTACATTTCCCAGGCTACTCTTGTCCTCCCCCCCATCTATTTTCTCCCCACCGTCTATGCTACTTATTCTCTCTACCTTTCCTCCCCTCCTCCTCCCAAACCCCTGTTGCTAACCCTCCATGTGACCTCCATTTCTGTGGCTCTGCTCCTGATCTAGCTGTCCTCTTAGTTTGCTTTTGTTTAGGTGTGGTTGTTAATAACTGAGTTTTCTGTCCTTTCACTGTTCATCTTTTTTATCTTCTTTTTCTTAGATAAGTCCCTTTTAACATTTCATATAATAAGGGCTTGGTGATGATGAACTCCTTCAACTTGACCTTATCTGAGAAGCACTTTATCTGCCCTTCCATTCTAAATGAAAGCTTTTCTGGATAGAGCAATCTTGGATGTAGGTCCTTGACTTTCATAACTTGGAATACTTCTTTCCAGCCCCTTCTTGCCTGCAAGGTCTCTTTTGAGAAATCCGCTAACAGTCTGATGGGAACTCCTTTGTAGGTGACTGTCCCCTTATCTCTTGCTGCTTCTGGAATTCTCTCCTTCATTTTAATCTTGGCTAATGTAATTATGATGTGCCTTGGTGTGTTCCTCCTTGGGTCTACCTTCTTTGGTACTCTCTGAGCTTCCTGGACTTCCTGGAAGTCTATTTCCTTTGCCAGATTGGGGAAGTTCTCCTTTATTATTTGTTCAAATAAGTTTTCCACTTGTTGTTCTTCCTCTTCCCCTTCTGGTACCCCTATAATTCAGATGTTGGAGTGTTTAAAGATGTCCTGGAGGTTCCTAAGCCTCTCCTTATTTTTTGAAATTCTTGTTTCTTCATTCTTTTCTGTGTGGTTGTTTCTTTCTTCCTTCTGGTCCACTCCATTGATCTGAATCCCAGTTTTCTTCCCATCACTATTGGTTCCCTGTGCATTTTCCTTCATTTCAGTTCATGTAGCCTTCATTTTTTCATCTAATTAGGGACCAAAATCAACCAGTTCTGTGAGCATCCTGATCATCAGTGTTTTGAGCTGTGCATCTGATAGGCTGGCTATCTCTTGGTCGCTTAAAAGTATTGGCTCTGGGGCTTTGATTTGTTCTTCCGATTGAGCCATTTTTGGTCAGGTCATGCCTGTTTGTAGCTGATTTCCTGTGGCTGCCTGCCTGAGTGGAAGGGGACAGAGCTGAAGGGGACAACTTCTGCCAAGCCCTCAGAGGGACCAGGAGAGCAGGGGCCATGCTGCCCTCCTGTGGTACTGCCACCCGACCGCTCTTCACCCAGCAGAGCTGGCTGGGCCCGTGCCCAGGGCCCTGGCTCAAGCCCAGGGAACAGCACCCTCCACCTGCCTTGCCAGCCTCCACTCTTTCCCCAGGGGCTGCTCCCTTTCTGATCGGTTGGCGCTGTCGTTTCTCTGGGAGAGTTAAGGAAGGCGTTTCAGGTCACGTGAATTGTTTTCCTCTCATTCTACTAAACCTCTGGTCTCAAATGAAATGATGCCCTCAGCCTATGATTTTCGCATTTCCTTCTGGGGAAACAAGCTTGGATTAGAACAGGAGGTGAGAAATTGGAACCTCTTACCCGCCCCACATCGTTGGCTCAGGCCCCGTTTCCTGGGCTTGCTCATGACGCAATCACTCTCATTGGGCAGGGCACGGACTCTGCTCATTGTTCATTTTCTGTGTGTTTCTGTGACTCTGTGTCTTGGACGTTAAGCACCTAGAAGACAGCTAATCCACGCCCCCATCCTGCAGCCAGAGGCGGAAATAGAGACGTGTGCACATTGTTTGGCTCGGGCTTGCTGGTGTCACGGAGTGAGAAGAGACCTGGATTAGGAGTCTAGAAATCTGGCTCTGTCACAAAATTAGCTGGGTGACCCGCTCTGCTCTCCAGGTCTCCATGTCCTCACCTGTAAAATGAGGGTTTGGAGGAGGTCCCCTGGAGGCCTTCACAAAGCTGCAGCCCCTCACTCGCTGAGGGGAACGTCACCAGGCAGCTCTTGGCCACGTTTGCCCGTGCTTGCCAGCAGCTGCGCCCAGCCCCAGGCTGGTGCCCCGTGCCATGGCCCCGCCCCGCACCACCTGGCCTGGCACATCCTCTCGGCGATGGAGCCACTGACCCCCTTTAAAGGTCATAATGGGCACCTCTCTCTTTCTAGGAGGTTTAGTCCAGACAAATGAGAATTGTCTCCATTTTTAAAAACATGCAGGGAAGGAGATAGTGTGACCTCTCTCCCATTCCTGAAGAACTTCCTCATCCTCCTGACATTTCGGAGGTTGCCATGGAGACTGGTGGTCCTCATCGTCCCTCAGAGCTGTGGGGACGTCACCCAGCACCTCCGTGCCATCACCTTTTGCACACTCCAAGTCTCCTCCCTGGTATCACAGTGGGCCTTGTCTCAGAGGCTGTCTCTAGTCTTTTGTCCACTGTGTGGTTCTCTGACTCCTCTTGGCTTCCGATGGCCAACCGGACACAATTAGGGCATCACGTTCTAGGAGGGGCCGCACGGTTGGATGTATTTTTACCTGTAGGCAGTTAGCCAGTGAAAGGCCCCATACAGGTTCCCTAAGAGTGTGGGTATTCCTAACCTGGGGCAGTGGGATGGGCTGTTCTGAAAGCTTCTCTCTGCCCGAATTCCCTGGACAGATGCTTCTGGCGTCTTCAGAAAAAATGACATTTATTGAGCATCTACTGTGTGTCAGGAATTGCTCTAGCCACTAATACTTAGCAGTGAACAAAAGAGAATAAAAATCTCTGTCCTCACAGAGCTCGTGGTTCGCAAGAGTGACCACTAGCCCTGTGGAAATGTACATGAAAATTAAATACAGGTTACAATTCACTTGCTTAGGCACACTAGCCACATTTCAAGTGCTCACTAGCCACATGGGACTAGCAGGTGCCATACTATAATGTATCTATGATACATTATTGATACATTATAGAACTCTTCCATTGTCACCAAGAGTTCTGCCATGTGTAGGTGGCCACCTGGAGGTTCTGACCACCGTGAACCCTGCTTTATTATTTTTTATGGGCAAACATACTCATAATACTTTTGTTTGAACTGTATTCTCTTCTGTTCTGATTCTTTGAAAGTCAGGAATCTCTAACCGCCTCATATAACCCATTTTTAAGCAGCATGCAAGATTCAGTCTGACATTGCAGTTGGCTGTGTGGCAGGCGGTTTGCCGAGTGGGTGGGGGGAAGGGAGGACTTGGAGGAGTCCTCATAGGCCCATGGAGAGCAGCTGAGCAGAAAGGATCTCAGAGATTATCGAGCGCGAGCACCACTGGTCTCCTTTCACGGAGGTGGCAACTGAAGTCCCAAAAGATTAAGTGACTTTCCCAAGGTCACATTTAATCAATGTGAGAGCCGGGCTTAGAATTTACATATCCCGACGCACCTCCAGGGTGCTCTCTACTACATTCATTCATTTATTGACAAAGAGTCACTGAGCATCTACTTTGTGCCAGGTGCCAAAGACACAAAGATAAATAAGATGCTGCCTGTTCACAGCGTTTACAGGTAGAAAGGAGGGTGTCATGTTAAAACAGGCGAACAAAAACCCTGTGTCACAGAGTTACAAAGGCCGAAAAAAAAACATCTCTCCCACAGGCAGGGAGGGTTGCTGGTGGAAAGGTGTAGTTCCAACCTGGGGTGCAGGAGCAGAGACACCCCCTCCACCTTTCCGCACCTGTTTTCTTTCTTCTTTAACTGTGCCAGGTGACTGAGCCACAGGGAAGAGCGGGAAAGAACTGAAACCACCCCTGTCACCAAGCACCAGGCTCGAGGTTGAGCCATCTGGTCACAAAGAACAAGAAGCAAGGAGAGATGGAGTCCCTGGGACCAGGGGGTGGATCTCTGGAGTTCTGTCCAACAGCCTTCCTCCTGTCGGACCCGCACTGCTGGGGACAGCGGTGGTCAGACACTGCCCGCCACCCCCTCCTCTTCCCGCCTCTGCGTCTCTTTTGGAAGGACGCTGGAATGATCTGGCCGGTTTAAGGATGGAGCTCCACGTTGGCACCGGCTTGCTGGATGGGGAGAGGCCCGTGTCAGTTCTGAGAACACAGCTCCTCCGTCAACGTCCGTGTTCTAACAAGGAAGACAAGTCCCACCCCGCAGTCCTCCCCCCACCTCATCTCATCTCATCTCATCGGTTCCAGGGACTCCGAGGGGCTGCTTTCACTTTCCCCACACTTGTTTTTTTTTTTAAGATTAAAAAAAAATTATTTTTAGAGAAGTGGGAAGAGAGGGAGAAAGAGGAGAGAAACATTGATGTTCGAGGGAAACATGGATTGGTTACTTCTCTCACACCCCTGACCGGGGACCTGGCCAGAAATCTAGGCTTGTGCCCTGACCTAGAATCGAACCAGCAACCTTTTTGTTTGCAGGATGACACCCAACCCACTGAGCCACACTGGTCAGGGCTCCCCACACTTATTGAAATGGCTGATTTTCATTAGAGACCCCAGAGCCAAATAAGTGACTTTGGCACCTCAAAGGTGAATTATGGATCTGGGGCACACCCAGTTAATGATAACATGACTTCTTATGGGAACAGTGACTCAGTAATCCGGAACATTCTTTTGTACCTTGCCCTTAAAGTGAGGATTTGGCAGTGATACTTGAATAATCTCACCAAAGGACAAGTCTAGTTGACAGTCTGCATAATGGGCAAAGTCGGGGGACAGGGCTGGTTCAGGAATAGGAGGGAAGGGAACCAATACTTGTAGAATAAGCCCTAGACTGAGAGGCTCGCCACAGTCTTCCTGAATGCTTGGATGCTCCACAGACATTACCTCCTGCAGTCCTCTCGGGGAGCCCACAAGAGATCTTACCCTCATTTACAGGTAAGAAACTGAGGCCCATAAAGTTTCAGCACTTACTGTAGGCTCCACCGCTAAAAAGCAGAGGAGACTGGATTTAAATCAAGGCCAACCAACCTCAAAGGCTGCCTCTTTTTCCCTGGATGAGTGGCTCTGTTGGTTGGGGCATCATCCTGTACACCAAAACATCGTGGGTTCGAGTCCTCTCTCTCTCTCTCTCATCAATAGACATGTCCTTGGGTGAGGATTTTTTTTTTAAAGTGTGCCTTTAAAATTTTTTTTAAAAAACAACAAAAAAACCCTCATTCTCCAACAACTGGTCTCTGCCTGTGTTATTTCACTAGCTTAGTATTGACTTAGCGATACTAAGGAACTGAGGAGAGGTTAGTTCATTCTTCAATTTTAAAGTCGTGCCAAGCCAAACTCCTGACTGATAGAACAACATTCCTTGCTTCTCACCTTTAGGTACACTAAAGCCTTTGCTTTTGGTACTAATGACAGTGAAAGTTTTCAATTTGTGGGTCTTTTTTTTTTTTAATTTTTCCTTTTCTAGTCAGGAGCACTCGATCCCGCCAGCAGGAAAGGAGTGAAACCCCCGATGACAGTTTCACAGTCACTGTGGGTGCAGAGTCCCAGGCACGTGGACGCTGGCTTGTCTGCAGGGGGAGGGAGACTCTCGCTCTGAGGGTGGCCGTAAAAGCGAGTGCAGTCTCCTCACTGTGCTGTCCTTCGAATGAACACTGAGTTCCGAGTCCACCCGGGCCTCGGATTTAGCGTTATGAGAGAAGGCATCTTCTTTCTCTCAATGATTAGGAATTGTAAAAGGGTCACCAAGATGGGTCAGCCCTGAGGGGGCAGTGCTGGACCTGGGAGGAGACTGGATCGTTCTCCTAGGCATTGCTTCATGCAGCCTTTGTAGAAACAGTGCCAGGACTGGGGGCGGGGATGGGAGAGGGGTTGGGAGAAGGATAGAAGGGTTGAAGAAGGAATCTTTGCAGAATCCCCCCTTGGAAGATTATTCTATGGTCCAAGGACCTCATTGTTACCTTTGTTCCTTGACAGTCTTTCTTAAATGTCCCTTAGATCCATTTGTCTAGTTTAATGATAAAATTCTACTCTTATATTTCAAGCTCTGTTCCTTTGGACTGCTCGTAATGGCTCCCAGGTTCTGAATGGTGGTCACATGGAGCCTTAAGAGCCTTCTCGTATGGCCCCTCTGGTGCTCAGGTGGTGGGGTCAGGACAGAAAAATGGGAGTGGGTGAAAGAGCTCAGTCGGCAGTCTGTCCAGCTGCTCTTGAGGCGGCAGCAGGGAGAGTGGAAAGTCCCTAATGGCTCCCAGAGTTTGCACTTGGAAGCTCCCCAGGCTGGCCCACAGCCCCACTCAGCGTCTCAGATGCCCAGAGACAACCCCAAATGCACTATCACCCCTGAATCCCAGATTCGATGAGTCTCATCCAAATGATCACTTAGGAATGGGTGACACAGGGATAACTCCTGTCTCCAGGGAGTTAAAAGCCCTTTAGAACTCAATCCTCCTCCGTATTAACGGTAACTTACTCTCCAGCCGGATTCTGTGCTGAAAGCACATTAATATGTTATTCACACACCATTTGCCGTGTGGATAGCCTAACCAAAATCTCTTCTGTGACGGCACACTAAATGCCCCCAAGTCTTTATGATTTGAAAGAGTGACTGCACCTGTCCACATTCCCAGCTTACACCCAGGAGGCCCTGGACACTGGGAAGGACAGAGAGCGGCCAATGTCTCCAAGCACCCGTGAAGCAGGGAGACTGTGTTTCCCCTGGACCATCACAGGGGAAACTGAGGCTCTGGGCAGGTGGTTTCTTCAAGGTCGCGGGCTAAGGCTAACGAAGGGTGCTATTTTAGCATGCCAACTCTTTCAGAGCAGAAGGAGGCCCTGGGGTTGTTCTGATCAACATTTTACTGATATTGGAAACTGAAGTCCAGAGAAGTGACTGGCCCAAGGTCACATGGCTGAAGAAGGCAGGCCCAGTTATGGAGCCCAGGTCCCTGGCTTCCCAGCAAAATAGTCTACATTATTCTACAAGCCACATTCTGGCCACACTGTGATTTTTTATTCTATCTTGTTTTTCCTTTTATTTATTCCTGGAGCCATGAACTTCATTCACTCACTCATTCATTCATTCATTCATTCATCCACCGCTTCACTCAGTTACAGGAACCAGATTACTCCAGTGACCTTAACGGGGAAACCGGCAGCCGGGGGCCTTGCCCCACCCCCCCCCCTCAGTGCACCTGCAGGGTCAGCCAGGGCCGGGTGGGTTTGGGTACAGGATGGTTTCCAGCGCCGCCTCCTTCCCTCCCCTGCCCTCCGCGGCGCTTCTCATCCCCCCCGTCGCCCTCCCCCTCCTGCCTCGGAGGAGTGGTATGTGCAGGATCAGAGTTCTGGAAAGGTTACACCCGGGACCTCTCGCCCGGCTGAAATGTGAGCGCCTCGGGCAGAGGCTCCTTGCACATAGAAGGACCGAATCCCGGACTCCGCCTGCCTCGCTTCGCACCCTCCTGCCACCAAGTGCTGCAGAAACAACCCCAGCCCGCCCCTCCCCCGCCCACCTGTCGCCGCCCCCCACCCTTCTGCGGGCCGCGGACCGCAGGATCTCCCTGCCCCCCCACTCCGGCCACATTGCTTCGGGTCAGCGTCACAGTCCAGGCTCCCGAAATAGCCGGCGGCTGGGGCCGCGACTCACCCACTGGAGAACTTTGATGAAGCCCAGCGGCTCCTCCAGCCGCCGCCAGCGCAGCCCCACGAGCAGGCGATCCACCTGCGAAGGCGGGGAGGGCCAGGGGTCAGGGCGGTGGGGTTCCCCGGGAAAGCTCTCCGCACCCCGGAAAGGGGAGCAATGACAGTCCCGACCCCCAGGTGCAGAGGCGCGCGCGGGGTGTACCTGCTGGCGCGGCGACTTGTCCGCCGGGCGGCTCGGGCTCTCCGTCGAGGACATGCTGGCGCTGCGGGGCTGGGGCGCGGCGCCGGGGCTCGACTCCCTGGCTGGAGGCTGCGGGGGCCGCGGGCGGGCTGGGGGCTGCTGACCGGCGGCCGGGGGCGCGAGCGGCGGCGGAGCGCTGTCCAGGCCCGGCCGGTGGGTCTCGGGGCCGCGGCTGCTTGCACTCGCCCAGGTCGCGGCCGCCGCGCCCGCCCTGCGGCTGCAGAAAGCCCCCGAGTCCGATTCAAACTTCTGTCAAACTCGCCAGCGAACTTGGCCTCCCGGTCACGTGGCGCGCCCTGCGGAACCCTCCTCCCGCCCCCCGCGCCCCTTTCTTAGCCCGCAGGACTCCTTAAAGGGACCTGCGGCCTCTGCGGGGAGTTCGGCCCCGAGGGGGCTCCAGTTCTTTGCCACGAACAGCCCGGGGCAGACCCGAGGGGGACACGCGGCGGCTCCAACCCGCTGTCAGAGTCGGAACCTGGTCCGGAGCTCGGGGACGCGCCGGTTCCTCGCCTATCGTCCCCGATTCTCCTGGATTTGGGGCAGTTTTCCTCTTCTTCCACCTCGCAATACCCGGAACCGAGGGGATTTTCACTGGGCACTGTCAGCGCGAAAATCTAAATCCCTAAGGTTCCAAACCCCACGGTTAACAAATAATCAATCACTCGTCTCCAAAGTCTCGGAGAACCAGTACGGAGGAAAGGGGCACTAGAATAGAAATCGCTCCTTTTTTTATTCTGTCCAGGCGAGCGTTGCTTTAATCTTTTTTTTTTTTAACAACAAAAGGCATTCGTATGTCATGATTTAAAAGTTGTTCATCTTTTAAAAGTATAAACTCAGTCTCCTTTGAAGTAGCCTTCACCACTTGCAGGAGAGTCAAAATCAAGTCCGAGGACCAGAGGCTCAGAGAAGGTAATTCGGGTTGAAAAGTCGTTCATTACCATCGCCCCGCGCCCGGCCCCTGACTCTCGGAAACAGCCCCCAGGGAGCGGTCAACAACTTTACTCGCTCGGCTGACCGGATCGTGAATGTCACTAGCGAAAGGTTAAGTGACCTGTCCAAGGTCATTGCGTGAGCCCGTGGGCGGTGCCGGGAGGAGAGAACCGCCCGCACCTACTGCCCACCTCCCCATGGTAGTTCTTGGAGGTGTCGGCTGGTACTTCGGGAGGACTGTGTTTTGAACAAACGTTTATCTCTTATTAATCAAATCATTCCCCCACTAGTAAGTGCCCCCCGAGGCTGGGGTGGCAGGGAGTGGCCGGGATCAGGTGGCCTGGACTTGAAGGAAGCTTCTCCGGATTGCCAGGCGAACGTAGGCTAAGGAAGGGACAAGGGCAGGCCAGTTTTTTAAGTAAAATATTCTGCAGTTTCAGGTTTTTTCCCCATGGAATAGGGGCAATAGTTTCTGTCTTACTTACTGCCTAATGTCGTCCTGAGGATTAAGTGTAAATGCCCGCACTACGGAAACATGAAATAATACTTATCACCAGTGTCAACGACGACATGCGTGTACCATGTCAACACAGAAAAGAACGAGAACAAAGCAGCGAAAGTCCACACACCCACCGTCACCTTGCCAACACTGTCTTGTCCCAAATCCACTCTTTCTAAATGAAACAGAAATTGCGTATAAAATTAAAGTCCTTCGTCTCCTCGCCCTCTCTTCTTCCTCCCCAGAAGTAACCACCACCTCTCCCGAATTTGTTTTTTATCAGCCACATGTATATGTTAATACTTTTACTATATACGTGTATATAACTACATCTAGAAACAATACACAGAAATTCACGAGACACAGTGCCGTTTTACTGTTTTGAACTTTGTCTAAATATTACGCTGTAGGTAACCTTCTTTAACTTCCTTTTTAAGTCAGTGTCGTGTTTATGAGAGCTATCTAGCCTGATGCAGGTACCCTTAGTTCATTGAGTTTAGCTCCATGGAATTCCACAGTATACGCGGATCGCAGTGCAGTGACCAATGCTCACACGGATGGACATTCAGGTTTTTGCAAACACTTCCTCTTACATGCAGTGGTTCACTGAATGTGCTCACATCTCCCGGTGCACACGCACATAGGCTGCTACGCGGCACCGATTTTCCAAATTTCTTTCCCTTTTTCTTTTCTTAAATGCAAATCCTGGTAAGAAAGAAATTTTTACGGCCCATTATACGGAGTTGGCAAAAGTAGGCTTACAGTTGTGAGTAGTGAGAAAGAGTTTATTCTTGTGTTATTATTGATTATTGCATTATTTATTTGCGTCACACCTGTAAACCTCCTTTTGCCCACCCCTGTCTAAACTGAAACAAAAGTTTCACAAAACATTTTTCATATTTTCTACTCCGTTTCATTTTTTTAAAAATTCTGGCCATCCAGAGGCAGATTCGGGTTTGGTGTGGCCTAAAATGTATAGAATTTGGGATCCTCCATTAGAAAAACAATACAAAATTAGTAACCAGGCCTTAGAAGAAGAAGCTTTGCAAGCGAGAGGTTCTGAAGCTTCAGCTTCATTAGTTCCAGGTTAAATTCCCTCCTAAGCAGACACTAGATGGAGTTAATGACTCATGAATAATGGGTCTCCACCCACGGTTTGATAAACATCGCTCTATACTTAAAAATGAGCTGGCTGCGTCATAAGACAAGAACATTTCAACTTTGACTTTTGATAAATGTCACCAACAGCACCATCAAGACACAGTACTTTCCAACCATTCCTAAGAGCTCCCACCTGCCAATCTGCAGACAGCCATTGATCTGCCGTCACTATAAATTAGTTTTGCCTTTTCTGGAGTTCCAAATAAATGGAATTATACACTGCGTACTCTTTTGCAGCTGACTTCTCTCACGTGGCACCATGATGTTGGGATTCATTCATACCGTTGCACTTAGCAGTGTGTTCCCTTTCTGTTGCTGAGTAGTATTCCATCATATTGCGGAGTCTGATCCAGCACAGTTTATCTAGCCACCTGCCAAAGTAAATTTAGGTTGTTTTTTCCTTTTTTGCTGTTATGAATAGAGCCACTCTAAACATTCTTGTACAGGTTTCTGAGTTAACATATGCATTTATTTCTAGGGCAAATACCTAGAAACGGAATTTCTAGGTTATGAGTAGATACGTGTATATTTATTTATTTTTATATTTATATATATATATTTTTTTTTAAGATTTTATTTATTTATCTTTAGAGGGAAAGGGAAGGATACAGGGAGAGAAACATCAGTGTGTGGCCGTCTCTAGTGCATCCCCTGCCGGGAACCGGCCTGCAACCCAGGCATGTGCCCTGACCGTGAATCAAACTGCGATCCTTTGGTTCGAAGGCTCACGCTCAATCCACTAGCTACACCAGCCAGGGCAATACATGTATATTTAATTTGATATGAAACTACCAAACAATTTTCAAGAGTAGCTTTCCCACCAACAATGTATTCCAGTTGCTTTGCATTTTCTCCAGCGCTTGGTATTAGTTTTTTTTTCATTGTTGTTTTCTTTTTGGCATTCTAAAAGGTATCTCACTATGGGTTTTTCATGTATCAGTTTTTGTTTTTCAATTACAGATGACATATAATATTATATTACTTTCAGGTGTACACCCCAGTGATTAAACATTATGTATAAGTCTCGTACCCATCTGACATCACACATAGTTATTAGGATATTACTGACTATATTCCCTATGCCATACTTTACATCCCCGTGACTATTCTGTAACCACCTTATTCCCTTCACCTTTTTTACCCAACCCCCACCCATCTGGCAACCGTCAAAATGTTCTCTGTATCTATGAGTCTGCTTCTGTGCTACTTGTTTGTTTTGCTTCTTAAATTGTTGATAGATATGTACTTATTGCCATTTTATTGTTCATGTTTTTCTTCTTCTTCAAGAAGAGCCTTTGACATTTCATGTAATACTGGTTTAATGGTGATGAACTCCTTTAGCTTTTTCTTGTCTGGGAAGCTCCTTATACATCCTTTGATTCTAAATGATAGCTTTGCTGGGTAGAGTAATCTTGGTTGTAGGTCCTTACTTTTCATTTCATCGTGGTTTTAATTTGTATTTCCCCAGTAGCTAATTATGTAGAACATCTTTTCATGAGCTTATGTACCACCTGGGTATCTTCTTTGGTGAAGTGCCTGTTCAAGTCTTTTGCCCATTTTTAAACTGGCTTGTTTGTTTCTTACAACTGAGTTCTGAGGATTCTTTACGTATTCCGAATGCAACTCCTTTCTGGACATGTGATTTGCAAACATTTTCCCCCAGTCTTTGGCTTGTCTTCTCATTCAGAAGTTTTTAATTTTAATGAAGTCCAACTCACCAATTATTTTTCTCCTATAGGTCATGCCTTTGGTATTATATCTAAAATGTCATCTCTGCCCTGGTTGCTGTAGCTCAGTGGATTGAGTGCCAGCCTGCAAAGTGTCACAGGTTCAGTTTCCAGTCAGAGCATGTTTATTTGTTTATTTTTTAGAGAGAAGAAGGGAGGGAGAAAGAGAGGGAGAGAGACATCAATGTGTGGTTGCTTCTCATGTGCCTCCTACTGGGGACCTGGCATGCAACCCAGGGACGTGTCCTGACTGGGAATCGAACTGGTGACACTTTGGTTTGCAGGCCTGCGTTCAACCCACTAAGCCACAAGAGCCAGGGCACTCTCAGCATTTTTTAATCCATAAAATTATTTCATAGCAGATATTCCATTTTTAGAAAATTCTACCTGTTAGGAGTAGAGGCTCTCTATAAAAGGAAATTAACCACTTACCAAATTTCTATCCTAATAGATTTTTGTTCATTTGTTTTAGATAATATTGGGAGATACTAAAGACTTCTTGAACTTTTGGTAAAATGGCTTCTACTATCTGGAATCCCAATTCTGTTGGACTGGCATTTATAAGCAATATGTAAAGGCCTAATGCACTCAAAAACCACTTAATCATTATACATGCTTCAGAAGAAAACAGTTTAAGGGAAAACATATATACGAAGGTAAAAATCAATGGCTGTCATGGCAATGAAGAATGAAAACCGAGACATCGTGTGCAGCAATGATTTAAAAGTTTCTGTTTTTTTTCTGGGACTAGTAGTGCAGAAAGGGTATACTAACATAAACTAAGGCAGAGAAGTTTTAACTGGTAAGGGGTATTGGCGATTAGCTAATACTTCCATTTGCCCTGAAAAATCAATGTATGAGGGGAGTAGTAGAAAATACAATCAGAATGGCAGTCAGGGGCTAGGGCCATGAGTGCTAAGCCCTCCGGCAGTTCTATTGCCCCTCCAAGAT